CCTACAATGTAAAGTGTTCACTAGTTTTTCCTTTTGTTATAAAAAAACAAACAGGAAAAATAGTTGTTTAGCACTGTTTTTAAATTCACACCTAATAATTTTTGCTTCAACAAAGATTTATAAAAATGCTTCCTGTGGACTAATTTTATTAACAAGCACTTCCCTCTCCCCTTGGGTTGATAGCAACATCTAGACCAGACCTGTCCAATATAGCTTTCTGAAACCGTATGTTTGTTTTTAAGATTTTTAAGTAATCTCTATACCCAACGTGGGACTTGAACTTACAACCCTGAGATCGAGTCGCATGTTCTACCAACTGAGCCAGCCAGGCGCCCCAATCACAATGATACTCTATAATCTGCAATGTCCATATAGTTTTGCTAGCCACTGGCTATATATGGCTATAGAGCATTTGACCTATATTGTAACAAAAAAACTGATTTTTTAGTCACGTGACTTTCAAACACTTGAAATACCTAGTGTGATTGAAGAACTGAGTTTCAAAATTATTTAACAAACTTAAAACCTTGGGTAGGCACAGATCCGGACCATGAATTAGAATGCTATATACAGGGCTCCAGACACCTATCTGTCATCCCTAGTGCTGTTTTGGGTAAACTATGTGACCTCTAAGTTCCCTTCTACATATTACTACCTCTGCTGAGAATCTTCCTACTGTCCCTTCCCTCTTGACTGTGAAGTTAGCTCATCAAGTTTGATAGTTGGTATAGTACCTTATGTCTATTAGTATTCCTCTCATTCTTTCTCCACCATCATTAGACAGTCAGCTACTAGAGGAATCTTGTCTTCTGTCTATCACTCTACCTACCATTTAACATGAATGCCACACATTAACTGTGTTTCAATGGCTAAATAAAAGTTATACACAAAAACCAGAGGGAATACCGGTCAACAATTCAGCTACCACTCTGGGCATGAGAAACTAGGTCATTAAGTCCAACTACCATGGGATGTGGCACAGTAGGCATACTTGGGAGTGCCATTTAATGAGAACATGACTTGAAAAGAATTTTTACTTTTGCTTATAGAAATTATCTTTCATTCCTGGGCATTTTAGATTGCTATTCCTAATGTGGCCTTCATATGAGACAAGTGATAAAATCAAAGGCAAAGATTCTGTCAAATAAAGATGAAAATGTAAGCACTCATGCAAATAAATTATTTCAATAATTCAACACAATCACACTTCAAAAAATCTACCATTTATCAAAAAATTGTAAGCTTACTTTGGTCTATAGTATGAATGTTACAGTAATAGTTCCTGGGTTTGAAATATATATATTAATTTCCCAGTTTTCTTCCTGACACCTAGACTGACTGTTTCTTTGCCTATTTGGGATTCTTTCTCATACCCTTTATATCCGGAGCATTCAGAGATCAATTTCACCATCTTTTGCTGAGCTAAATACTATTCTCAATTTCGGATTGTTAAAAGGTGGCTGAAATATGACCTGAAAATATCTGTAACCATTTTGACATAAAACCTTTCAGCAGTTTTTGTGTTACAAGTGGAAACAGTTATAGAGCTTATCAGAAAAAGGGTAAATAAGCCTCATATACACACTACTTATTAACATTATAACTTCCTTACTTCATATGTAAGAAGAAAACATAAGTGGTTTAGTTCAATTTGACTCTCAAGCTGTTTCTCCGTTCGTCCACCATATCCAGCCTGATTAGTACCTGAATAGCACTCCACAAAATCATCATTCCCCTCTACTACATACACAAGTGCTATGAGAAGAATCAGAGGAAGTAAAAACAGAGTTCTGTAAGGAGAAAATGCTCTGGACTGGCTGGGAATAAAGCCTAGAATATTAGAGTTGTTCTCAGGCACCTTTTTTGGAAGACTACTTTATGTTGATGAACATATATAATATGCATCTATTTGTCTCAAAAAATGTTTTTCTCTTTATAATCTACTTAAAAAGAAAAGCTGCATTTGTGTAGTCTGTTGGGATAAAATACTAGTCAGAAGTTATTCCACTTTTCTGAAAATCCTCCAGTAGCACCTGGTTTTGCTAATCAAAAGAAATCTGAAGAGGATTTTCACTTTTACGAAAAAAGAAGGCGAAATACAGGAAAATAGCTTGTTTTGCAGCAAGTCCTTATACAAGCAGCACACAGCCCCGTGCACTGAGTGGCGCCAGCAAGTCCCTTATCCCAGGGACTGCACTCAGCGCAAGCCATCACAGCTTTGAACTGGCTCTGAGTATCTGTGCTTTACCTCGATTTATTTTGTGCATCTGTGAGCAAGATATGGTATCAGGTAAATCTGAGAGAGATTATTTTTCCGTGAGGGATTACTCAAACAAAATTTCCATATAAATTAATGGTTATTGCTTCTTTGCTTTATGCCATTTCGGCTTTCAGAACGTTTCACAGGGACACTCGACTTTTGGGATAACATAGGAAACCTGTACTGAGCACATACCTTCAACTGCTAATCAAAGTGGTAGTCAGTGCTCGAATCAGTTAGCATTGGCCTCACCTGGAAGCTGGTCAGTAATGCAAAATTTCCGGCCCCACCCTATCCCTACCAAATCAGTCTACATTTTAACAAGATCCCCCCAGGTGATTCAGGTACACATTAAAGTTTTTAGAAGAACTTCAAACAACTTATCTTTCCTCCTGTAAACAGATGTACATATTTAAAATTATTTCTAAGGTCAAATAAGGAAAAAGCATATTCATTTTCTAACTGCCAGATCAAGAATGATTCTCAAGGGCCACCTGGGTGGCTCAGTCAGTTAACTGGGCTGAAGTCCTGATCTCAGGGTCGTGGGATGGAGCCCCAAGCTCAGCAGGGTGTCTAATTCTCCCTCTCCTTCTGCCCCTCCCCCTGCTCCTGCTCTTGCTCTCAAATAAATAAAATCTTAGGGAGAAAAAAAAAAGGCAATGATTCTCAAGACTTTGATATAATTTTTTAACAACTTGAATGGGCAATACAGATTAAGATTTCCAAACTGAAATTAATCTATGGGCAAACGGTAAAGACAACCCAGAAAGCTCAAGCAATTTATTGGAAATGTTCTTATGTGTATTCTCCCAGACATTAGAATATGCCAGTTTATACATGTCCAGTTCTTTATATGCAAATCTGAAAAACAAGAAACTTGAAAACCTTAAAATTTTAAGCTTGGTAGCAAAACCCGTCTTAAGCTGATATGAAACTATTATAAATGGTCTTTAACCCAGGGGCTCTGATGACTCCTGTTCTGCTGCAAAAGTTAATGTAGGAATTTGAGATGTGGACACAAACCTCACTGTAGGTGTGATGCAGTATATGGTATATGCCCTCAAGACTTCCAGATAAGGGCCCTTTAAGATAAATAAAAGAGCTGGAGAAGACAAAAGCAAGGGAAATTAAATCTACCTGAATAAACCTTCATGCTAATGTTGGGTAAATAAAAACCTAATATGGTGCCTTAGAAGCATTAATGAAGTAAGAGAAAACAGAGGAATAATAAACTGCTTGAACAACATGTGAAGCTTGGACGGGGGGTAGGGGAGAAGGCCGGGGGTGTCAATTTGAGAAAAGGCTAGTAAATAAACTCACAGTTGGCAAGGAGCATGAACTTTCTGTTTTCCCGAGGCCAGAACTTAAAAATGATAGAATACTAAAAGGGGGTATTCTCCACAAATGTATGATTAACCCAAAGTAAGTAAATGGTCTTTTTTGACCTTCATTACAATACTCATAAAAATCAAGTCCATCAAAAATCCAGCCTATATTTTCACGTTATGTTTCTAGTATGCACTGCACAATTACAACATGATATCATTTATTTAACAAGACTCTGAAAGAATGGGTCCCCAAGATCAAATATATACAGTTTTAATATAGGAAATATTTACATAATGGAACCACATCATGGTCCAATGTTAAGAACAGTGTTTCAAATTCCTTTTAAGATGTAAAAAAAAATCTGTAACTCAAGCTCAGTTATGCTTTTTAACAACCCCCCCCTCCAAAACTTTGTCTTTCTTTTAAATAAATACTCAGAGATGAGAATAACTGCACCTAATTTGTGTTAAGAACTGTCTAAAACCTGTTACATTTTCAGGTAATTTTGCTCCCTGGTGAAGTTCTGTTCTACAATAAAGCAAGCCCCATGTATGTCTCTAAGACATCAGTATATTTTTAAACATTGATGAGCAGAGGTGAAAGAGGTGTATGCGTACATATAAACCCTTTAAAAACAAAAGTGAAAACAAAAAATTAGTGGTAACAGCCTTAAATGATTTACTTTATCCTTAAAAATAAGATGTAAACTGCAAATTGCCATCTGAATTCCTACTGTATTTTTTCAAATTTTCCAAGTCTGTATTGCCTAATTTTACTTTTTAAAATGATTTTTTTCATTTATGCTTTTCAGATTAAGGTTTTTCTTTTTAAACAAAAGAGTACACCAAAATAAAGCTAAGGACCAATTAGTGCAAAAATGCATCAAATAAAGCACTCCAGAGTCTAAGGATCTGCCTCATTTCTGAACAATGAAATTAATGGGAAAACCATTATGATTCACACTCCCTTAAAAAAGAGAGGCTGAAGCAGCCAGCTATCAACAGGAAAGCCCCATTCCATTCACCAGACTGTTGCTTGCCACAAGAGAATACCATGCTCTGGGAGACTAATAACCTAATTATCCCAGACATTTGGATTGGCACAATACCATATTTCCTTTACAATTCTACTCTTCAATAAGGAAATGTTTAAGGGAGCCCTCCAAAGAATATTAGGTAAAAGACATTTATACATACATTCACACGAACACATTCATACAGAGATACAGTGGGAATGGACTGTCTGCTAATCTGAGCACTCTAATTTTAAATTCCATGCCTTCAGGAGGGCTTGTCATTTTTGATCAAGGGGTGGGAAGGGTAATAGGTATGATGGGTATTCTTTCAATTAAAATCATTCATGTAGGTTCCTGTACAGTACAGTTCAACATTAAGTGCAATTCTGCAAAAGAATTGGGGAGTCATTTTAATATTTACAAGAAATAAATCAGCAGAACAAGATTATATCAGATAGGCTGTGTACAGTAGCTGCGGCTTATAAAACATACCAGTAATCTGTACCTGGTGAGTATAAAGAGAACCAAGGCAGGATTCAGATGTCTTTACAACCAAGGGAGTACACAGGGCATCAACAAATTAGAGGACAAAAAAATTCACATTTTCTACATTAAAAAAAAATTACAGATCTCACAAATGTCTTTGAAGACAAAGAAAAAGCCAAAGTCCTCTGAAGGGTGGGAAAGAAGAAGAAAATTGAAACAGAACTCTAAATGTAAAAAGAGTTTTACTTCACAAGACCAATTTTCTTGGCTTCTGTTTCATATATCAATAATCTCCACATTTTGACTATAAAAACTTCTGCTTCTTCATCAAGTACCTAGAAAAGAAAAAGAAAAAACTCAAAAAAAACCCCAGTAACACATGTAAGATAAGCAATCATCAGCATCTCCCAACAGTGACTAGTATTTTATTTTATTTTTTTTTATTGTTGTTAAAGGTTTTATTTATTTGTCAGGGAGAGAGACAGAGCCCAAGCAGAGGGAGCGGCAGGCAGAGGGAGAAGCAGGCTCCCCACTGAGCAAGGAGCCTGATGCGGGACTTGATCCCAGGACCCCAGGATCATGACCTGAGCTGAAGGCAGATGCTTAACTGACTGAGCCACCTAGGCGTCCCGTGACTGGCATTTTAAAAGGCTTTATACATTGACAAGCATTTACTTTCAATAAAACGACCTGAAATAAATTGGTCTAGTGTGATAAATATATTTAGTAAATATAAATTACAAAAAAGGGTGCGGGGGGGGAGAATGCTTTCAGCAAAATTCCATGGCTTACCAAATACTGACACCGTAATACTAAACTATTTCCTAAAGAAAGCATGTTTGTTATAAAAAACATAGTAATTCAGGCAGAACTAGTTATATAACCGAGTATCTTATCTACCCCCAAAACAGCCTTAAAATCATAACACTTATCAAGTCCTTATTATGTATGTGACATTGAATTAAATATTAAACGAGAACATAGGTAGGGGCGCCTGGGTGGCCCAGTTGTTAAGCGTCTGCCTTTGGCTCAAGGTCATGATCCCAGGGTCCTGGGATCGAGCCCCACATCGGGCTCCCTGCTCAGCGGGAAGCCCGCTTCTCCCTCTCCCGCTCCCCTTGCTTGTGTTCCCTCTCTCGCTGTGCCTCTCTCTGTCAAATAAATAAATAAATCTTTAAAAAAACTAAAAAATAAAATGAGAATATATGTAAAGCATTTAATATTGCATCTAGGATATGGTAAACAGAGTACGTGAACACTATCATCACCAAAAAGGACACAAGAGTACTGAATAAATAAATGGTCTTCTCCCCTTGGGAAATTGATAAATCAAATTATCTTCCTATCTACTTATGAGGGAGGGGCATTATATCGACCCCCTACTCCTGCCCTCACCCTACATGCAAATTTGGGCCTCTATACCAGGGTTACTTACAGTGAGGTAAAATGGAACAGCATGTTTCCTCCTACAGGAGGCAGCTATGACTGAGCTCCAGGGTATCGCTGCCATGATGGAATGTGGCCTAATGTTGCCAGGTGTCTGGAGCAGCAGTTTAAGTTAGGAGGTAAGCAAACCAGGGGCGCATGGGTAGCTCAATCAATCAGTTAAGCATCTGCTTTTGGCTCAGGTCATGATCCCAGGGTCCTGGGATCGAGTCCCACATCGGGCTCCCTGCTCGGCAGGAAGCCTGCTTCTCCCTCTCCCATTCCCCCGCTTGTGTTCCTGCTCTCGCTATCTCTCTCTCTGTCAAATAAATAAATAAAATCTTTAAAAAAGATTTCATCTGAGGCTCAGCATTATGAAGTCAACAAACTTTTCACAAATACTTTATCAGAAATTCTAAACAACAGCTGCATCAGCCTGGCTGGGCAGCAGAAAACTAATGTTACCTGGCTTTAGACATCATACAGTGCCTGGACACAAAATATCTCGACCTAGGAGCTCCCTTTGTTTAGGTACCCCACTATGCCCCTCCCTGACAACTGCAGTGGGAAATGCAAGCTCTCCAGGGCACCTGTCATCTTACAACATGCTCGACGTTTCTTCCCCCCTGACTCATATTCCCTCTGCTGTCTTCCCATTCTGCCCTTCATTACTCTTTATACTAACCACCCTCAACTTCTTTAGTTTTTTTTCATCTATTTACCTGAACTGAAAACTTGTGTCCCTGAAAGACCCTGAGACACTCCTGTAGCTTACTCAGGAAGTTCCTTACTTTCAAAGCTTTAATCTCACAGGAGAGGGGAAGCTGCTGGATCCTTCCAGTTTCTCTTTGTGAACAGTATCTCCATTAAGATTCACGAGATCTCATTACACTACCCTTCCACTCCAACAGCAGCTATCTAGCAAACACCTAGTCTTCCACCCACAATAGATGAGCACAACAGAAGTTTCAATTTCTATGTGTATGACCCAAGTGGAAAGTTCACTTATAGTCTAATGACATCAGCTCTACCCCAGAAACTCTCTCCCATGGCCACATATGCACCTCACCATCGTCTGGACCAATCCACCACTTGTTCTTAAACGTTCTACTCTCTCACTATATAACCACTCTTTTCAACACACCTCCCACAGCTTTGGTGGAACAACCAGCCCGTTTCACATAACCACCAGCTCTATTCCGATGTTATCACCTTCTCTTCCTAGCTTGGAGTTCACAGTCCACTCAATCACTCTCACCTCTAGAGCCAATTCTCTCCCTCCTTCCTTTTCTCACAAAATCACATTAGATAAATGTAACCACTGACTCGACTCTAATATCCAAATTAAATGCAAGTGGGGATTTGATGTTTACTGCTGACCAATGGATACCTGTCCAAGTGACAAAGTTATACAAGTCTCAAGTCTCAGTTTAGATGGTAACTCTTGTGATTCTCTTCCTAACTGCCGTCTGTACCATCAGATGCTCCATCTCCTCTGCCCCCCACATCTTTTTTACATATCCCCATGATTGCAAGTATATTACAGTATCAGTATTAGTATACCTGTCTCCCTGTTACTTCTTTAAGGACAGATGTTCCACCTTTTCATGCTTCTAGCACCATGTTCAACCCAGTTAGCACTTAATAAATGTTTTCTAAATGTATGAATAGATCCAGGATTTGTATTTATACATACAAACACCAAAGGTGGGGGAAGGAAAAAGTGTTAGTGTTGTCTAAGGACATCTTGATGTGAGTGCTTTTAACCTCTTTTAGTGCAGATTCACATTTTAATTGGGGCTTCTAAAAAGAAAGATTCTGGAACCAACACAGGTAAAAAATTAACCAAAAACAGAAGTTTCATTTGTTTACAGATATTAATTAGAATATTAACAACAGTAAATTTCTGACTTACCATGGCAACGTCATCTAAAATGCTCTGAGGTGAACTATGAGCCATAACCTAAAAGAAACACGTAACTGTCATTTTAAAAATAAATAAAAAATTAGCATTATAGTCAAAAATTTTTAAAGTACCCTCAAACTAATATGGGAATTTCTTGTGGCTGAAGAAACATTCTATAAATTTAATTCCCAGAATCCTACTCTCTTCAATGGAAGTTTATGACAACCTAGGATCTTAATCACTATACTATGTGTTCTAATTCAAATCCAGAGTTACAAATTCCAATGCTACAATAATTACAAGTGGAAAGGGCAGCCTAATTTTGCTATTCCTAATGCTAAAAGAGCAGTAATGGTGGAAAAATAAGCATTTCCTTAAAATGCAATTATTCCTTTACAGATATACAATGTTTCTACTATAACTATCTTATTAAAGATAAGACTTTGCCTTCAGGAGACAATGGAAGGATGTGGTACACCCTGGTGGTTAAGAGCACTTAGCGCTTATTACAGGACTATGGTCAAGACAATCTCCCCATGACCTCAATTTCTACATATATAAAATGGGGATAATAGCAGTAATTATACTTGCTAAGGTTGTTGGGAGGTTTAAAGAACATAACATTCTATAAAATGCTTAACACAGTACCTGCCAAGAACAAAGCCTGGCCCACAGCAAATTAATCAGTAAAAACAACTATTATTATGCTATGAAGGAAACTATTTTGCTCCTCTTCCAAAGGATGGATGACTGACAAATTCATGAAATAAGCTATCAGCTGTCTCCACAAATACCCCCTCAACTGTACTTCAGCAGCATTCTAACCATTAAGACATGGGGGTGGCAATACATTCCCAGGGGCAGAGAGAGCGCAAACTTGGCAGCAGTCAATGAATCTGTCCTCCTTGACCCTCTGAAATGAAAGCATATGGCGTAGGGGTCTGAAATAAAGTGGAGGGGTTAAGTGGCCATGAAATCTCTTAATAACTGAAACTAAACTATCATAGACTTGGCTTTGCAAGATTTTTTATTTTAGAAAGTGTCTTAATATTTTAAAATATAAAACAAATGTTGGGGATCAGGGCACCTGGGTGGCTCAGCCGTTAAGCCTCTGCCTTCGGCTCAGGTCATGATCCCAGGGTCCTGGGATCGAGCCCCGCATCGGGATCCCTGCTCCGCAGGAAGCCTGCTTCTCCCTCTCCCACTCCCCCTGCTTGTGTTCCCTCTCTCGCTGTCTCTCTGTCAAATAAATAAATAAAATCTTTAAAAAAAAAAGATTTTATTTATTTATTTGACAGAAAGAGACACAACAAGGGAGGGAACACAAGCAGGGGGAGTGGGAGAGAGGGAGAAGCAGGCTTCCCTCTGAGCAGGGATCCCGATGCGGGGCTCGATCCCAGGACCCTGGGATCATGACCTGAGCCGAAGGCAGAGGCTTAACGGCTGAGCCACCCAGGCGCCCCAAATAAAATCTTAAAAAAAAAAAAGTTGGGGATGAAGGGAGTAAAAGACTAACCTTAGAACAAACAAAATCAACTAATGTAGCTTCTTCTTCACCTATGTATTCTATAATTTTCTTATTAATCCATGGTCTAATCCGTCGTTCCATCAATATCTGCAAAATAAAGCATGGTTATTAAATTAAATAACTTTTTATTATATTTACTACAAAGTCTATAGCCTCATAATTTTTCTTAAAACTAAAATATAGTATGCTCTCATTTACAAGTTGAACAAAGACAGGTATGTATCAAGATACAATTATTTGCTTCTAACTGATGAAGACTTCAAGTACCACCAAGAATTTCCCCAATCATTTACCTAAATTCCTTGGCAGGTCAAGATGCCAGCCACATTATCATCTCTACTTGTCATTAATAGAATCAGCTGACTTTGTATGCTATACTCAAACCCACTTCCAATAAAAATGATGAAATACAATGTGCTACTCACAGAATCCACAATAGACCAATCCAAGGGATAAGCAAAGAGCTCAGGTTTGGCTGTAGGAATTTTCTCAATGAGACTCTTAATGTGTTTGCGCTTTTCTTCAGTGTTTACAGTGCCTTTGGCAGCATTTTTATCATCTTCACCATAATCCAAGGGAACCAGTTTCCTTTTTCGGGGTACATCATCACTGTCTTCGTCCTCAAATTTGTTAAAGACACTATCTACGGGGAGTTTCTTTCTCTTCACAGAATTAGGTTGACCAGGACTATTGGAAGCACCTATAGTAAAAATCCTGTATTAGCATGATGACTTAATTTTCAAATGTTAATTACATTTCACAACCCACCATCCCTCAAGAGCAGTGCATAATGTACTTCCACAAATCTCAGAGAAAGATCCCAACTGTAAAAAATAACTCACTACTCACAAGTGCTAGAAAATTTAACTTTTCACTTCTTCTCAGAACTTGAGGCAGCTGCGGATATAGGAGCACTAGTAGAACTACGAAAACAATCGTGAGCTATAAAGGCATTTTTGAGTATTTTTCTATCTACCTACCAAGCAGCACATATTTATTTTTTCCTTAAGGCAAAATTTAAGTATATATAGGGGATTAAAATAAAGGAAAGAAGGAAGAAAATGCTAACATACCCAGTTTAAGACTTAGTCCTATTTTTGGCCTATGTTCCTCCGGTTGTTGTTGATCTGGTGAATTTTCATGAGGAATAATAATACCACATGGAGACTCATCCCCAGGAGTGTTGGGGGTTGCATTGCCACTGGCAGAGGAAACAGATGGGGCAGAACTGATGGGCCTCAGAGTTGGTTTGAGACAGGGCTTTTGCTCCGGCTCTTCCTCCTCTTCCATGGGTTCCTCTCGTTTTTCTTCTTTTTCTTGCTTTTCTTCTTCTTCTTCCTCTGATTCAGGTTCTTGCTTTATTTGTGGTTGTCTGCGCCTTTCAGCCTCTTGTTCCATCTAACACCAAAAAATAATGTGACTAACAGACCACAACTATACTCTACTCAACGAACTTTCTGTTTTCCATTATCTTTCATAAAACCTCTATTTTTCATTAGGAATACTGAAACACTGCTTGCTTCTATAATCAGAAAGCTGAGTAGGTCTACAGAATATATTAGGTACTCTGCAAAATGTTTTCTTATATTTTTAACATTTACATATAAAATTATTTAAACTCTTCAGATATAACAAAGGCAAATACATAATAGGTGGCTAATTTAAAAGGAAAAGGTATGTTTTTTTAATTTTTATTGAAATTATAATCCAAAGTTTTATTTTGTTTTAATTTTAAAGATTTTATTTGAGAGAGAAAGAAAGAGAGAGCATGAGCAGGGAGGAAGGGCAGAGGGAGAGGGAGAAGCAGGCTCCCCATGCAGCAGCAGGGTTCGATCCCAGGACCCTGTAATCATGGCCTGAGCTGAAGGTAGATGATTAACTGACTGAGCCACCTAGGCGCCCCCCAAAAGTTTATTTTAGAACAGCACAGACAACTGCCTAAGAGGCAACTCAAATCCTCAGCTTGGTCATCAACAATTATTTGTACTGTGGCACCTGGCTGGCTCAGCCAGTAGAGCATGCAACTCTCGATCTCAGGGCTGTGAATTCGAGCCCCACGGTGAATGCAGCGATTACTTAAAAATAAAATCTTTACACAATTATTTGGTCTTTCTAGGTCATGGCTAAGTATGGTAGTCACTTTTGTATTCATGAATTGGGAAAGAAAGAAAGAGAGGGGAAAAAATTTTTGGAGTCAAAAGTCTATACCAAAATGAACTCTCCCTGAAATCATGAAAGATTAAACAACAACAACAACAAAATAACCAATAAGAGCATTATAAAAACTTGAGTAAATTTCATCAATAATTTTTCTGAGCATGAAACAAAAAAAATATAACAAAAAGATCCTGGGGGCTCCTGGCTGGCTCAGTCGATTAAGTGTCTGACTTAGGCTCAGGTCCTGATCTCAGGATCCTGGAATTGAGCCCCATGCTCAACAGGGAGTCTGCTTCTCCCTCTCCCTACCGCTCATGCTCGCTCTCTCAAATAAATAAATAAAATCTTAAAAAAAGATCCTGAACTACATAACAATTAAAAGTTGGTGCATGACATGACTTAACCCCATCTAACTATCAATTCACAAAGTAGTACAATGACCATTAAACAAACTGTAAGGCATTCAAACCAACTGGTAGAGAATTAAAACATAAAAACACACCCAACCTAAATGTTACAATGGTAAGGATTTAAAAGACCAACAATATGCCATAATGGTCAAGGTATGAAAACAGACATAAAGCTATAAACTGGCAATATTCTGAGTGAAAGATTAAAAACCCGAATTAAAAGCACATTAGAAAAGAGCATGTAAATTATAATCCCACTTATAAAATTTATGTGAGGAGATTACATAAACATATGCCTGTGTGATGACATTTTAAAAACCACAAATCTAGGGGCACCTGGGTGGCTCAGTCAGTTAACGATCTGTGTTTGGCTCAGGTCATGATCTCAGGGTCCTGGGATTGAGCCCCGCATCAGGCTCCCTGCTCTGCGAGAAGCCTGCTTCTCCCTCTCCCACTCCCACTGCTTGTGTTCCCTCTCTCGCTGTTTCTCTCTCAAATAAATAAATAAAATCTTTAAAAAACCCCCCACAAATCTATGATTGTACCAGGCTGATAAGAAAGCAGATGGTTTTTAATTTCTTCACTATTGTGTCGCATGTTGTCTGAACCTTCTATTTACTCATGTAAGTACTTATTCTATCAACAGGAAAAAAAACACAATTTCATTTTGAAAAATAAAAGGGGCATGTTAAGAACACATGGTTTCTGATGACAAACAGGATATGAGATTTTTTCAAGTTGATATAAAGAATTTACAATATTATTAGATTCATGATATATTAAGAACTAAAAATTTTCTAAAATGACATTCTCCTCTTAAAGAATGGGGTATGCTATGTTCTATGGCAAAGTCTTTTCCTTTTTTTAAATGGCATGCTGTTCATGAAAACATCTTTAATTTATTTAGGAAATAAAAAGATTTAGGGTGGCAGTGAGAAGGAACTAAAACCCCAAGTCATGAAATGTGAGAACACATTATGGGAAGGACAGGTTTCTAGAAAAGTTTTATTAGATGACATTCATTTAACTTAGGTAATATTTCACAGAAATAAAGGAATTAGACACAGGAAGGTGTTTAGAATAATTAAAGCTGTAAATCAACTAACACTGATGGTCTGCATAATAAAATAAAGAAAAAATACTAATATAATCCCCCCAAACAGCAAGATCCATGGAGCATAAACTGCATTTCCCTTATGAGAACATTGTTGTGGATGTTAGGGTAACTCACCCTTTGGAGCTCTGCATCTGGATCTGGGTGCCCTTCAGCCAGAAGGCGCTGCCTGATTTCCTCTAGCTCTTCCTTCTCTCTCTTCCTATCCCGTTCATCAGCTTCCATTTCCTTTTCCCTATCACGCAACCTTTTCTGAAGAGCGCTTCCTCTGCAAAAGTAAATCATAACAGGCCTTGATACGCAGAGATCAACTATTACAACACATAATGTCTCCAAAAGTACCTTCTTTCAATACTAAAAAGCTGCATGTTAGGAAAATGAAAAATGTCTTACTGTTTTTGTATCTGCAGAACACCCAAGACAGTGTGCTCTCCACACATAAACAGTTTAATAAGGAAGCATGGTCTTGTCATTTATCACCATGCCTCATTCTCAAGTCATTCTAAGTGTCTAAAACAAGCAGAAAACAGTTTTCTGACGAAAGAAAGCTCTCATTTTGTACTCATTCCACAGGGAAAGCCCAACACACAATTTGTTTTCTTGGATGCTGAGTTGTGAAAAACTACTACAAGTGGTAGTAATACCACTAAGAACAGTCCTCTATCTTCAATTTAAATCAATTCTTTCCCTTATGGAAAAAATCCTTGAAGGAAGTAGTGCAGAATCAACAGAAAGCAGAGATTCTCTCTAGCTAGCAGTATATTACATCTCAGAATGCTGAAATTATGTACTACTACTGATTTTATGATTCAATAATTTTACTGAACATTTTTTTTTTTCATTTTCTACAAAGTCAAATCCTTGGCATGCTTTTGAAGTTGCTAATTCCAATGTTTTAATTATGGGGTACGGTATATTAAAATGATATACTAAATGCCTTCACTACATGCCCTGGATCCTATCAGATACATGAGGTTAAAAAGAAAAATCAAAATACTGTCCTTATCCTCAGAGAAATTACAGTTTGGAATGCAGGAAGCAGAAGCAGCAACAATTTTACCATACTGGCACAGTGCTAGAATGAGAGTATTTTAGAAATCCCATGGGAACAAAGACATGAGGGAAGGCAAACTTTACAACCGTCACTTTACAATAATATATCAACAGGGCAGGGGATGGGATGGCATTGGGTTTGCTTTGTAACATTCTTGAAATCCTTGAATGCAAAAATTTTTAGACCACAGTTATCAAGACTAGTTATAACTTGCTATAAAAACTGGACCTCTATAAAACACATGAAAAAAATTAATCTGTTTTAATACTATGTGGACCACCACCCCACAAAAGATAGAACTGTTGATCCCTTCCCAACAGTTCTCCCCCGCACTCCCAAAAACATCTTATCAAATATGGAGGTGATTACAAGGTAGAATATGAAGATTTTCTTTCTTATTCCACTGAATAAACTTGCACCCTCTGGTAGGGAAAATACAGCTAATAAAATGCTGAAAGTATGAGCTCATTAAAGCAAGGATTCTTTACCTGTAATATTTGGGATCATCTCTATCATCATCATAATCTTCTAAGAATTCTTTTAGTCTTTTAGCTTCTTTTGCCTTTGAGGAAATAAAAGACAAAGTGTGCAAAATTAACATAAAAGTCACGTAGAATACCCCCTCCTTTCTTGGAGATAAATTTTTCTTATCCATACCACTTGAATTTTATAATTATCATGTACTCTGTATATTAAATTTAAATAACATTAGATATATTTTATCTTTTACTCAAAAAACAAGCCAGATTTAGAACTTATCTATGCAACAAAAACCACATAGAGTATTCCTCTCTGGATATAATCTTCAAAGTACAGTAATGAAACCTGAGCAAACCAAGAAACAAAACAAAGTTATTTTATTGAATCTGTTAACTCAACAAAAATACTTTACCTTTCACATTTGTAGATACATTATGCTACAGAAAATAGTTTTTAAGAAATGCAGGACTGAAAATTCAAATCATGTTCATGCATCAGTCTAACTTCAGGTACACAAACCATGAAAGTATAGGACTCTCTTATTTTTGAATTTCAAATATAACTATTGTATTTAATACCACTTACAGCTAACAATTACATACAAATATATAATACACAAAAATACTTATACTCTATATCCTTATCTGCTCTATCAACAACTATTATATCTAGTGTATCTATATACAAAGGAGATGATACGTTTCTAATTACAGTAAAAATTTAGATTACAGTGAAATTTTAATACATTTCAAATTTCAAATGTTACCTCTCTGTAAAGACTTCCCTGATCTAACCATCTACCGTCACCAATTCCCATCCCCAAACAGAATTCTTTCTCTGCACTCCCAAAATACTGTGAACACCCCTTTATCATACCTTAAACATTCACACACACTACAGTAACTACCTCTCTCTCTGAAAATACCACCCACTTGTTTCAAAGTTAGAAGCATTAGTTACTCCTGTATGCCCAGTACCCAGCACAAGCACCAAGGCTGGGATATAATGTACTTGACTCAAATGTGTCAAATGGGGCACGTGGGTGGCTCAGTTGGTTAGGCGACTGCCTTCGGCTCAGGTCATGATCCTGGAGTCCCAGGATCGAGTCCCGCATCGGGCTCCCTGCTCAGCAGGGAGTCTGCTTCTCTCTCTCCCACTCCCCCCTCTTGTGCTCTTTCTCTCTCTCACTCTGTCTCTCAAATAAAATAAAATCTTTTAAAAAAAAAAATGTGTCAAATGAAGGAAAGCAGATTTGTTAAATAGGAATGACAAAACTTATAAGTATTTAAATAAAACACAGGAAGGTGCATGAGATACATACTAAAATATGAACATAAATTACCAGCTTTGAGGAGTAGAAACCTTCACTTTTTACATCATGTACTTCTGTTACTTGAATATTTCAATGTAATAAGTAACTGCTTTTGTAACTGGACTTTTTTAAAGCTCTCAAGCAAAAAAATAATAGGAAAATTTTCTCTAAAAAGACAGATTTCTGATTTACTTGTAAAAAGCAGGACCACTTCAAATCTATCCCACCATGTTGTTCATGGCAAACAGCTCTTCTAAATAATCATTTCTCACTATATTATTCTCTTCCTATTTTCTAACATAGGGATGAAAAAGAAATTCTAGAATGGGAATTGAAATTACTGTCAATAATTCTAGCATTATGGATATATACAGAAAACCCATACTATCTAACTAGTTTCTACATGCACCCTCTTTTGGTTACTTACAAAAACTCCCTCTAGGTCTCATGTTCAAAAGCTACTTGAAGATTCCTAACTTCAGTGAAGTTTTTGGAAGAATAATCTCCAAACTGGAGATAAAGAAACTTTCACGAAATTCTGGCAAAGACAGAACACATGGAACATACTACTCAAGCAAATACTATGACAGAATTTTTTTGTCATTCTTCTTAGTAACAACCTATGCCAATGGTTTCCCTATTATAGTTCATCAAACAGTGTAAATGCAAAAAATGTCATGTACTTAAAAGATAGCATGAGGAAAAACTATAATTCATATGTTATATACTGAAGACAATTGTGATTCATAAAAACAGGTCTTTACGCTGTATGTTAATTAAGTGGAATTTAAATAAAAACATGAAAAACAAAAAACAAAGAGGTCTTCTCATGACACTATTCCCTTCATCCACATGTGCCACACCAATACAGAACAGTATCTATCAATATCTACCAATGCCTCTTCAAAATCAACAGGTTATAAACTCTTAATTAAGAATGTTTTATAAATTCTCATTTTATATATATTATCCTATGGCAGACTTACTTCAACGGTATGCCAAAAGATAATTTTGTTTATAGGCAGCAAAAATGTGAAAATTAAAGAGTAAAAGAGATTTTGGTGGACTGGAATTGTCTGAAGATTACTTGAAATACATAAAAATTAAATTACCTAGGGTCGCCTGGGTGGCTTAAACAGCTGGGTGTCCCAACACTTGATTTCAGCTCAGGTGGCGATCTTAGGATCATGAGATGGAGCCTCACTGGGTATGGAACCTGCTTGGGATTCTCTCTCTCCCTCTTTCTTTTGCCCCTCCGCCCCCAAATTAAATTGTCTATACTGAGAGCTCGTACATTTTAATGACAAAGTTACTTCTTTTTTTTTTTTTAAGTTTATTTATTTATTTATTTGAGAGAGAGAGAATGAGAGACATAGAACACGAGAAGGAAGAGGGCAGAGGGAGAAGCAGAACCCCTGCCGAGCAGGGAGCCTGATGCGGGACTCGATCCCGGGACTCCAGGATCATGACCTGAGCCGAAGGCAGTCGCTTAACCAACTGAGCCACCCAGGCGCCCTGACAAAGTTACTTCTAATCTAGTTAATGGTCAAGAATTTGACCTGATTTTTATCTGAAAAATCACTAATTTGTAACCTAGAATATTACCATTTCTCTTCTTCTTTCTTCTTCTCTTTCAGCCTCTTTCTCATACTCCCGGGTTTTCTTCCGTTCTCTGATTTCCCAATTCTTAAGGCGCTAAAAAAGAAATTGTCAAATTTAGTAATACAAATGTATGCAAAGGGCTCTAAAATTTTTTTTTTTTTATAAAGATTTTATTTACTTATTTGACAGAGACACAGAGAGAGAGGGAACACAAGCAGGGGGAGTGGGAGAGGGAGAAGCTGGCCTCCCTCAGAGCAGGGAGCCAGATGCGGGGCTCGATCCCAGGTCCCTGGGATCATGACCCGAGCCAAAGGCAGCCGCTTAACGACTGAGCCACCCAGGCACCCCAAGGGCTCTAAAATTTTTTACTAACCTACTGAATAGCAAGCTTTAAGAATAAAAGCATTCCTCGGGGCATCTGGGTGGCTCAGTTAAGTGCCCAGCTCTTGGTTTCGGCTCAGGTCATGATCTCAGGGTCGTGAGATCGAGTCCCACGTGCTGGGCTCTATGCTCAGCATGGAGTCTGCTGGAGTTCTCTCCCTCACCCTCTCCCTCTGCACACATGGGCGCATGCTCTCTCTCTCAAATAAATAAAATCTTAAAAAATAATGATAATAAAGAATAAAAGCATTTTCTCAATTTACCTCTTGGTAAGCAGCCTCTTTTTCTCGGAGTTTTCTTTCAAGTTTCCTTCGTTCGTAAGCATCTTCTTCATCTTCTTCTCGGTCACGCTTCTTGTCTTTCTCTCTCTCTCGTTCCCGTTCCCTTTCTCGCTCTCTCTCTCGCTCTCGTTCTCTTTCTCGTTCCCGTTCTCTCTCTCTCTCTCTTTCTCGCTCCCGTTCCCTTTCACGATCTCTGCTCTTTTCTCTATATAAACAAAAGATTTTAAAAATCTGTCAGTCTTTGTTTTCCTTTGTAAACCAAGGGAAAAGACGGCAACTTATATTACAAAATAATATACGAACTCATAGGCCGGAATTTAGCATTTGATTTCTGCAGAATTGTAAACTCCTCTATACTTATCAGGATGACACAACGTAATTCTAGTCTCAAATTCTCAATTGCATTTTAAATTCAATGTTAATGCTTATCAGCATCTCAGAAAACAAACACACCTGGATATAAGAAATATAAAGGACTGACAAACACGTTAAAAGACAGCCTACTTCACTAGTGATCAAGAAATAAAGGTGTTGGCAAAGGTGTGGAGAAAAGACCATTTTGGCATGTTGGATGGATAAATCAGAACTGTATCTACTGGCAAGGAAAAGCTCAAATATTTAATTCAGAATGATAAAACCAAATTGCAGAATATATGTAGTATGATGCCATGGATCTAATTAAATACAAATATATTTATTTGTACACATATAAAACAATACAGTGTTTATGGATTCATATCAATGATAAAAGTATACATACACTGACTATATGTCAAATTCTTGATAATCCTTATCAGGTTACTCAAGAGGATAATGATTATTCCAGGAGAGGAAGAAAAGGAAGGAAAGGAAGGATTTTAATGCCCACTAAAGACTAAGGACACTGGATTTCTAGTTCCAGCAACTGGTGGACTGACTAAAGTGGACCTCCTTTCAGCTACAATCAGGTGAAAATTTGCAACACAGAAATGTATTATCTGAAAACCAGCTTGGGAAAAAAAGGTGAGCTTTTCTTCCTTCCCCACTTCCTTCTTTCATTTTTGCTTTACTCCTTCCTAAGAATTTGAGATGATTCATCAAACAAATTCAATATAACTAAGAAAAAACTTAAAATAAAAACAAGGTAAAATTACTAGGAGTCCTAAATTGAGCGCTAGGAGGTGAGTCGTGGCCATACAGTGGGCTATAGGACCAAGTAAAGACGAGCGGCTAAAAGCAGGGGTGCTAGAGATGATTTCCCAGGATGCAGGACCTCAGTGAAATGGTAAATAGAAAAGATGCCCACCAACCCAGGGAGACAAGAGGGAATCAGGTCTGCCCATAACACTGGGTGGACAGTGGTTGTGTTCTGGGTCTGCGTATAAACTAGCGTCAGATAAAAATTAACCCTGAAGTTGAGAACTGTTACTTGAACCAATGTTTACATGTGTGAGACAGCAAGCCAGGCATGCTCTGTGCCTAAGGAAGTTCTCTCCTCACACAAATGTAAACAGTGTGGAGAGTGCCTAACTGCAGTTCTACTAAAGTGATCAGCAAACAGTAACTTCCACCAAGCCTTACCTTGATCGACTCCGATCCTTATTCCGATCCGAGCTCCTTTCCCGATCGCGGTCCCGGTCTCTCTCTCGGTCCCGGTCACGGTCTCTTTCTTTTGTCCGGTCACGATCCCTATCTCGTTCTCGTTCCCGCTCCCGTTCTTTCTCTTTTTCTCGTTCACGTTCTCTTTCCCTTTCTCGTTCCCGTTCTCGCCTTTCTCGTTCCCTTTCACGCTCCCTCTCTCTTTCTCTCCGTTCTTTCTCAATTTCCTGTCTTTCTTTCTCCTTTTTGCCTTTCTCTTCTTCCAGTTTCTAGAAACCAATAAAAGTACTTTTAGAGTTAACTCTGTAGCTCCAGTATTCAGATATTTCCCGGCGCAATGCCCAATATAAGGAACAAAAACAACCAAACCACTGGCACTTTAATATTAAGTACTTGTGGTTTTACTTGACAAATTAAACTGAAGCAATCACAAGACTAAATAGATTGCGTGCAAACCCATATACTCTACACAGACCAGGAATCTCCAATCTTGGATGCTGGGAGATTGTGTCAAGTGTGGCTGGCCACTCAATGATTATGTAATAACTAAATGACCATGAGGAATGTGGTGATTAGTAGTAATTTCTAGAAATACAATCACTTAGCTAAAATGTAACTTCCCTCATTATGAATTTCTGTAAATCAGTGTGACTACTGATTTACTATTGATACTAAATATAACCCCAAACTTCCCATTACCTACAGGTTACTACTTGAAGATTTCAAAGGGGAGGTGGGGGAGGAGAGTCAGGTCACTGTAATACAACTAAATAATCTTCTACCCTCTGGTTTGCCCACCCTCCAAAAGATAAGCTGAATTCAGCCAACATTTGCCCTATTATCTAAATGGAAACATTTACTCCCACCATTACAAGATGGACAGCCCACTAAATACAAAAAGTTTAAAATCACTCACTTCAAGCAAAAATGTACATAATTGTAATATTCTCATTTCACTTAATTTTAAAAGCAACATATTTATACCCATTACGCCTATAAGAAAATAAAAATATATCAACAGTGATAAATCCATCCTTGGAAGGAACGATTGCATATGAACTTACAGATGCTGTGCTAGGACATGGATCGCCAACACTGGATTAACCTTGCCTACAAGCTATGTTTCTGGGAGGAAGAGCAAGTACATGGTTCACAAATAAACCAAATAACAAAGTCAGACCAAGTTTGAACCCTGACAAGATTACCAGTGTACTACACGGTTTCTACACAAACTCAGAAAAAAAAACAAAAAACAAAAAACAAAACAAAACAAAAAAAAAACCCAAACAGGAAAAACAAAACAAAAACAAAATACATTTATCCCTTTGGTTCCATGTTTAGTGTCACCGAAATGAAATTTAAACTGCAACAATAAATTGTGCATTTTTTTTTGTCTTTTCTCAGTCATGTAAAGCATTTAAAACAACTTTAAAAAGCAATCTTACCTGTTATACTTTTTCTCTTGTTCATGGCTCAGAGAACTGATAGAGGATTATGAGAGAAAAGCTAATGCATGAGAAATCAATATATTCAGCTGCTGTGCCAGTCTGTATCAAAGGAGAATGTAGGCAAAGCCAATACTGAATACACTGAGGTTACAAAGAGAAGAGAAAAGAAATCATAGAAAGAGGACAGAAACTGAAAGCTATTTAAAGGGGCGAATTCTAATTTCTGAAACAGTTCTAATGGACTATAAAAATTTGTATTGTAAAATGAGGCTAGACTATATAAAACTTACCTCAGTGTCATACACTTATAAAGAAATATTTATTTCTGAGATAATAGATACTTACAGACTTATTTTAGCTGTCCCAATAACAATTTCTTTTGTAGAATTTAACTTTTTTACTTTTGCTTATTCACTGTATTACTTATTTCTTAGTAGTGTATACTTCTACTTATGTAAATAATAATTTGTTTCAGAACTCATTTCAAAAGTTTTGTTCTAAGTAAATGAACAAGTGAGTGAATCTGGTCCACACTAAATGCATTTCTAAAAGACTATATATGCGGTAAGTAGATGGACACCTACATACATATGTATATTTTAAGACAAAACTAGAGATAAAGAAAATGAAGTGAGTCTAAAAAGATGTAAGAAAGTAATGAAATAATGAAGAGGAAAGGACAGAAAAAAAAATCATAAATCTTACCTTATTCTCTCTTCAGACTCGTCCGTGCTGTAAATGGACGCCCCCTGCCACGCTGATACCCTGACAGTCCGTGGTTATTTAATAAACTCATACCAAAACATGCAAAGGTTCACTGAGCTCATTTTTTGTTACTAGAGTTTCAAATGTTCCCTTTAACCATACCACCCAACAAAAAGAACTGTTTTTCATTTTCATTTTTATCTTTTTTTAAAGTACATTTTGGAGAAAACATTTCCCCCCCATAGTGAAGTAAGTCTAAGGCAGTCAAAATGCCTGACAGCTTCTCAAACTCTGAAGCACTTATCTTTTGAATTAATTTTTTTAAAACACAATTTTCTCATACTTTACCAATGACGTGACAGGGTTTAACAAATAACAACAAGGGGGTAAACCACACACACAACTGTATACCATTTTCAAGCTTACTCAGACCCTGAATTTGAGTATTGAACCTAACCAAAAGTATTCCTTGAAAATCACTTCCCACAGACTACCTTTTAAACTCAAAATTAATTTGGCAAAATTATATTTGTGCTTTTAGACATACTTAATTCCTGAAAAAGCACTGTGTATGTGAGCTACGGCTGGGCATCTGGATAGTAAGTGTTCAGCAGCAGTGATTCAATGGCACTGTCACCTTGGGATTTTGAAAGCAGTAAGAAAAAGTAAGATTGAATAAAAGAAAAAGTGAACACTTAACATTTCACTGAGTTGAAGATCACTCAGTCTTTAGGGTAAAAACCAGTACCATCTTATCTCTAACATCAAAATACATTTCATGCAGTGTTTGCATTTTACCGTCCATAAGCATCACCTTAAACACCAGCGAACATTCACAGATGCACTGTCATGAGAGAAGCTTTCAATAGGCAAAACTCGTGAGTGGGATTTACTATGCACAAATACCCATTTCCAAGCCAGTTACCCCTTTGCATATTTTTCTGAGGGGGCATCCATAAATATAATAAAAAACAGAAGCTCATACTTACATCCTATTCCTTGTTACTTTCCAAGCTGAGAGTTTCATCTTGCATTAGTCACCATATGATCTCTATCATAATGGTGGGGGTCAATGAATAGATTAGCTTTATGGGAATTTACAGTTCTTCCATGCATCTAAAATTTGGTAAGTCTGGTAACCACTGACCTACTTTTTAAAATCTCCCCCTCTCAACTTAAATCTACACAAATATATATCTTATATTTTAATCTCAGCTCTAAAGAAACGATTTTCGTAAGATTAAGTTAAATAACTGCCCCAAGAAATACACTACAGTGTAGGTTATCCTGGTGCCCCACTGAATCTAATTTAAATCTGACCTTGATGTTTATGTTAAAATCTAAAAATAAAATTAGCTTTTATAAAAGTGAGATGACTGCAGAGTAGTCAGTAACTGAAAAAACTAAGTACAATATGTCCAGGACCACTTTAATATGGTATTGTTCTTCTGTTTCTTTGTCTCTATCTAAATATTAATTAACCTATAAAAAGCACTTAAAATTATTTTCTAATGTAAGGTTGATTTTTTTCTTTTTGTCTGTTTGCTTTGGGTTCTGTAAAAAGTCTAGATTGGTATCAAGTAAAAAAACAAGAATACTACCTTGTGTGTGTCTCTGAATTTGCTGATCTCTCGGGATATCAGATCTCTTTTGTCTTCTTCCATTTCTATAGCATTTATATCCTCCTAAAAAAGACAGGAGGGACAGGAGAGAATGCATTAAAAATTAATCTACATCAATACAAAGATACTAGAATTCAAAGATATTCTGTACCATCTTACAAAAAAGATAGAAGTAAATAAAACAGAATTTATATAGTAAAAAAAACTAGTGATCTAAGTTAAATAGTGAGAAATCAGATGAACAAGAATCACAAGTCTGGCCATTAGCAATAAATAGTTATTGTCAATGCCTATAATGTAAACGAACCTTAGTGATGAGTGGGTAAGGGATCAGTGGGGCCACTGGAAATCTGCGGAAAATCTGCGGAAAAATCCACAAAGATTAAAAAAAGAGCAAGAGTTTTCATTACTCTGCACAACAATTTGCTGTATGTTTATACTGTAAGCAATGTAAGATTTCTGTGACATTTTCTTGATTTCAAATGACTTAATAAAAAAGATTTCACTCACTCTCTTTAACCCCTCCTGTCACCCACCACCTCCTCACCCTCCAACTCCCCCAGGCAACGGAATAAGGAAAGTCTCACACTAGCAGGACTTTTTCCTTCATCCCCTGGAAACAATCATACCAACAAAATTTACCCATAACTCCTGCCATCGAGCAGGATCTCTTTGATCCTCTCCTCCAAACCCATATCAAACAAATATTCTAACTATTTTTTCCTTTCCCATTAATGCCGCAGAGGAAGAACAAGCTCTACAAACCTCAATTACCCTATACCTGATGGACTACCAATTCCCATTCCCAATGACTTGCATTTCACTAGACAGGTTTTTATGACCATATGAGGAAAAACAAGCCAAGTAATAAAAACGTATTTGGCCACAAAGCAAATTGAAGATGGCCTAATAAGGCACTCAAATTCAAAATAAAATGAACCGTAACTACCCAATGATATTAAAAACCATAGTACATGTTTCACAGTACTTTTTCATGGCATATACAATCCACGCACACAACATACTCCCAATATTTTTAAGAGTACTCCCCGGATTTTCCTCTAAATTTATCCAAAAGAAATGAGTGTAAAAAAACAAACATTTTTGGGGCATCTGGGTAGCACAGTCGGTTAAGCACCTGAATCTTGGTTTCAGCTCAGGTCATGATCTCATGGTCGTGAGATCGAGCCCTGCATTGGGCTCCAAGCTCAGTGCGGAGCCTGCTTCAGATTCTCTCTCCCTCTGCCTCTCCTGCTCATGCTCTCTCTCTCTCTCTCAAATAAACAAATAAATCTTAAAAAAATTTTTTTTCTTTTAACCTGGACACCCTACTATTTAATTAGCTTAGGCTGGCAAAGACTGATAATATAATACACTGGGGAGGAGTGTTTCATCTTCTCCTATTCTTTCACCACCCTCCAATTAGAAATACAACTGCATTACTGTCCACAGAGGGAATGAGATGTGGTTTAGAAGAAAAAGGTGGCAAAAATTAAAGAATGGGTGAAAATATTCAGTGAAGGATAGCTGGTGTCCTGGTTGGAGCAGAGATAGTACAATATCAGGGAGTAAGGCAAAAACAAAGCCAGCCCCTTCATGGCCAAAAAAACAAAAACAAAAAGACTTCCTTTGTCCCTTAATATCGGCATCTACTTCATGAGTCCCGGGTTTTTTCCTTATGTAATTTGAATCCAAAGATAAACACAAGTATCCATGCCAGTGCATTTCAAACATATAAAACAAATATTTTGGTGAAAAAAAATTAGTGAGTTACTTGATAAAACATGGTCAAATTAGGCTTAGCAGTTAAACCTTAGTAATTTTCCCCTTGAAAGTTGCAATGCAATGAAAGCACAAGAGTGACACCATAAAAAGTAAACCGTAGAAATGACTACTGTCAGAAATCAGTAACACATACGTCCTCCTTCTTCTCCTTCTTCTTCTTCCTGGGATGAGAGTCAGATTCTTGTGAGGGGGCATTGAGCTCACTGGAGTATTCTCGTATTAAAACTTCAATGGCCCCTTTGATCATCTGATCTCTTCTCTTTGTTTCTTCATCTAAGGCTTCTTCATCATCATTAGTGACAGTTTCTGGCCTCGCATTCTTTAAAAAAAAAAAAAATCAAGGCAAGTTCAGGGAAGTGAAGAGGAAAAAAAATCAAAAAAGAAAATCATTCTAAAACAAGTTAGTACACAAAACAAAACAAACATGTTTTCTCTAAAACATCTGTGCAGTCCTATTAAATGCAGACTTGGTTTTGTTCTTAACTTCACAAAACTAAATTTCATTTCATTTACTGATTTTTCTTAGACACTGATACTTTATCATTTTTTCTTTTTTCCTTTAATAGCTAATACTCTGACCCCTAACCAGTTACAGGGAGATTAAACCACAGTACTAACATACTACACATCTGCCAAGTTTTCAGTTTTTCAGATTGTCTTCCTCAAATACTTCCACAAACTAATGTTTACTAAAATTTTTTTTTAAGATTTTATTTATTTGACAGAGAGAGAGACAGTGAGAGATTCTGGGAAAACAAGCAGGGGGAGTGGGAGAGAGAGAAGCAGGCTCTCCGCCGAGCAGGAAACCCGATGCAGGGCTGGATCCCAGAACCCTGGGATCATGACCTGAGCCATAGGCAGAAGCTTAACGACTGAGCCACCCAGGCGCCCCTAATGTTTACTAAATTAACCAAAACACAGTTATGGGGCGCCTACGTGGCTCAGTCTTTAAGTGTCTACCTTGGCTTAGGTCGTGATCCCAGGGTCCTGGGATCCAGCCCCGAATCAGGCTCCCTGGGGGAGGCTGCTTCTCCCTCTCCCACTCCCCCCTGCTTGTGTTCCCTCTCTTGCTTTGTCTCTGTCAAATAAATAAAAGCTTCTAAAAAAAAAAAAAAAAGTTGAAAACTTCATTATGTGCAAAAAGCAAAATACAACTGTATGTATACTGTGAGAGCCACCATTTAAAATAAACAAAAGTATGTGTAGGTTAAACGAATGAAAAAACACAAGGCAGCTATATACAACAAAACGCAAGCATCAAAAAACAAAAAGGCGGGCGCCTGGGTGGCTCAGTTGGTTGAGCGACTGCCTTCGGCTCAGGTCATGATCCTGGAGTCCCTGGATCGAGTCCCGCATCGGGCTCCCTGCTCGGCGGGGAGTCTGCTTCTCCCTCTGACCCTCCTCCTTCTCATGCTCTCTGTCTCTCATGCTCTCTGTCTCTCATTCTCTCTCTCTCTCAAATAAATAAAATCTTTAAAAAAAAACAAAACAAAAACAAAAAGGCAAGCATCAGACCTGCGCCAGGGACTGAAACAATGACATCTTTTTCCTCCTCTGCTTCCTATAATATGGTAATACCACTTACAAAAACCATATACTTATACACTAAGAAGGAACCAACTCTAAATACTGCACAAATCTTTCTCCCATGACTTGCACATTTAACTTGCACGTTATAAAAAATAACAACACAAAATTCATGCTGTAATGCTTCTCACAAATAAGTAACTATCTGTAGGACTTTATTATTTTTTAAAAGACTAACCTAATTGTATTGACGCAAAAAAAAAATTACTGACTTCTAATGTACCACTATTCTTCTTCCTTTTATCTTAGATTTACTTTAAGGCCCTTGGTTAAGGAATTAATCCAATTCAAACTACACAATTTAGAGAATGACCTCAAAACTGTTACTCTCAACCAGTCTTTTCTTAAAACTAGAAAAGATGGGAAAGTAGGACAAGCAACAAGATAAAGATATGTACAAAAATTTTTGTAATTTAGAACTACACACACACACATCTTAAGACATTTATCAATTTACTTGGTAAACATATGCTGTGTACATTTTCAGATACAAATGAGAACAATGCTCCTCTGCATAAATACTGGCTCTTGGTCACAATGCATGCAACTATTCGAAGTAAGTTCCATACCTTGTGGCTCCTGAATACAACTTAGCAGTGATTTCATATTTCATAATTCATAATTTTATAATTCTGAAAGCTACCTCCAATGGATACTAATTCAACAGGCATTTATTTCTTGATTTGCTCAACAAAATTTTTTTAGTTAAAAAATTTTCTTGGGGGGGTGCCTGGGTGGCTCAGTCGTTAAGCGTCTGCCTTCAGCTCAGGTCATGATCCCAGGGTCCTGGGATTGAGCCCCACATCGGGCTCCCTGCTCTGCGGGAAGCCTGCTTCTCCCTCTCCCACTCCCCCTGCTTGTGTCCCCTTTCTTGCTGTGTCATTGTCAAATAAATAAAATCTTAAAAAAAAAAAAAATTTTCTTGGGGTGCCTGGGTGGCTCAGTCAGTTAAGTGTCTGCCTTCGGCTCAGGCCATGATCTCAGGGTCCTGGGACTGAGCCCTGCATTGGGCTCCCTGCTCAGCGGGGAATCTACTTTTCCCTCTCCCCCTCCCCATCCCCCTCCTCCCCGCTTATGCTCTCTCTGTCAAAGAAGTAAATAAAATCTTTAAAAAAAATTTTTTTTTCTTTTTGAAGTAATCGCTACACCCAACGTGGGCCTCAATCTTACAACCCTGAGATCAAGAGCTGCATGCTCTACTGACTGAGCCAGCCAGGCGCCCCTGGCTCAACAAACTCTTAAGAGCCTACTGTGTGTGCAAGATACTATGCTAGATGCCAAAAATAATTCGATATTGGAAAAAGAAATAACCTTGCCCCTAAGCATTTAGCAAATACGATAAGCAGTTATGCTACAGATAACTTCAAGTCATAATGTATATTATAAAACTAACTACTCTGAGTTCCTTACTTTCTCAAACCTACCTCTTCATCCAGTCTTTTTTTTTCTTAAAGTAGGCTCCACGCTGGGCATAGAGCCCAAAGTGGGGCCTGAACTCACATCCTTGAGATCAAGAGTTGGACATTTAACCAACTGACCTACCCAGGCACCCCTTTATTCAATCTTCTTCTGCCAACTTTCTACCTGGTATCTTGGATAAAGACAAGAAGCTTTACCCAAGGACTGTAAATACCTGTTAAAATTATTTACCAACAACACTGTAAACTGTAATCGTGGTGATGTGTTTTTACTTTAAATCCGTAATATATCCCAAGAAGGTCTTTGTGCAGCTTTAAAATCCCTTCAGTAATACTATGCTTCTCCACAGGTTTTAAATGAAAGAATTAACCTGACACTAACTTGCCACTAAAACTGTAGGTCCTAAGATATACATGGGCCATTCCAACCCACACCCTCAGGTATTGATACCTCAATTCTTTATTATGAAAATATACTTTATGAGAGAGCATCGAATCTGTCTTTCCCATACATGCTAAATTCCTTTCCATGAACCCTCAACATCTCGGTGCTTTTCTAAGCATAAAGACAGAAGTGGGGTGGGGTGCCTGGGTGGCTCAGTCAGTTAAGTGTCTGCCTTCGGCTTAGGTCATGATCCCAGGGTCCTTGGATGGAGCCCTGGTCATCGGGGAGTCTGCTTCTCCTCCTGCCCCTCCCCCATCAACTGTGAACACGTGCGTGAGCTCTAATAAATAAAATCTTTAAAAGCAAACAAAAAAAGATAAAAGTGGGGTTATATAAATCTGAAGGTCTAGTCATTTTAAAGTACTCATAAGCCCCCAAAGTCCCTACCACCACCATCCTAAATCAAATTTAACTGCTTCTCAGCCTTTTGGCTAAGATCAAGTGTAAATTTAAGTATTAATATAGCTAGTCTTAGCTAAATTAGAAATACAGCATTTGGAATTCACACCACCTTCTGATGTACATTTTGAGAAGGAAAGCTTATTAGCCCAAATCTCTTCACCAATTGTTAATGTAAGACAACCAAAAATAATCAGATATATTATAAAAGGAAAAGTTTGTGTTTCTTTTTTAGTCAAAGAGAACTACACAACTACTTGTGTTCTTTCTTCTGGCTGGCAGTCAGGAAAATGCCTGACTCAAGTACCACAAGAGCTCCTGATGTCTCTGCTCACATCATCCATCTTAAGTCACTGTTTTCTAGACTTCTCCCAACACTCAACAATCAAGAAGAAAGAACAATAATACGCTCTCATATTTTACCATCGTGACAAATCTGTCATCTACTCCGCAACAGTTATATTTGCTTAAATTATTTGAAAAAAAAATTTTCATCTGACAGAATTGCTTTTCTTTTTACCAATATTGCTAAGTAAAATGGACACTCCAGCAGACTACGCCATGTCTGTCTTGTGGTTTCAAGTATCTCTGGGCACCACACCAAGTACACCCAGAAGTCAAGTCTGTTAACATTTTAAATTTCATCTAATCTGAAATAATTGTTCTGTTTTTACTGGAGGTAGCTCCAATTCCATTTTTGAAGATACAAACAGATTTAAATTGAGGTTCCTCTCACTAACAGTGATTACAAATTAAATCAAAGTCACACAATTGTGCATTTCCTTATTTACATATATAGTGAAGTCATTTACTTCATGTTCAGAGTACACTATTTGCAACGTTACAAATCAAACCACCTCACCAGGTGATGATTAAACAATGGGGGCGGGGTGAAGACTCCCAGGGAATTATATAAAAACTATGAAGATATTAATTCCATTTAATTCCATGCTTTATTTTAAATAATTCAGTTACCACTGCAAGGAAAATCTGAAAAGTCTTTCAGACAGTTGTTTTTCTGATGTGACAGGCAACATTGCTCATTTGAGATACAATTTATATTACAGAGAAATTGCATTTTATTATTTCTTTACAAAGCTAGATAAGGACAGTAAGATCATCAGTTGAGCAATGTAAATGCAACTGTTACTCAATAAAGGATCATTCCATTCTTGCTATGGGCAAGATACTGTCTTAGGTTCTGTGCAGGTACAAGAGCAAGAGACAGTCTGTGAACTTACTGCCCTTTCTATCTTGTAATCAGATATATGGAACTGAAACAGGGTTCAAGGGGTATGAGAGAGAGACAGATACCAACAATTTATGTTACAAAGCACTGACCTAACAGCAATAAAAACCTGGGAACATAAGTGGGAAGAGAGTAATCAATTCTGCCTGAGAGAAATCGAACGGAGGACTGATGAAGGCTATTTGAGTCAAATACATTATAATTACAACTGTATGGATAGAATTGCAACAGGGAGCTTGGATGGGCAACAAGGACATGAGAGGTCAGCAAAGAATGACGGAAGTTTGTAGCGATACATGACTGACACATGCAGAAGGACTAATGAGAGAAACCACAAAGGTAGACTGAACAAGCCTTGAATGCCATGCTAAGACTTAATACGTGCTTCACACTCTAAGAAATTCAAAATCATTAAGGATACATGAGCAGAGGGTTGAAATAATTATACTTGTTTTAGAAATAGTCTATATAGATGAGAGAAAACAAAATACAGAGAATCAGTTAAAATATTATTAAAAGTACAAGTTAAAAAAAGCTAATTATAGAATACTTAGAACTCAATCCTGTGTTTATGAAAGAAAAACAATCCATATATTCCGATTAAAAACTATATTCATCCGGGTGCTGGGTGGCTCAGTTAAGTGACTGCCTTCGGCTCAGGTCATGATCCTGGAGTCCCAGGATCAAGTCCCACATAGGGCTCCCTGCTCAGCAGGGAGTCTGCTTCTCCCTCTGACCCTCCCCCCTCTCATGTGCTCTCTCTCTCTCTCATTCTCTCTCTCAAATAAATAAATAAAATCTTAAAAAAACAACAACTATATTCATCCATATAGAGAAAAATCTCTGGAAGAATACACAACAAAAACGTCTACAATGGTTCCTAATGGTGATGGGATTACAGGTGGTACTTAATTTCCTCTTTATAGTTTGCTTTATGAGTTTTTTTTACAAAGAATATACAATGTTTTTGTAAAGGAGGGAGGTGTAATACCAAGAAAGCCATTTCTTTTTTTTTTTTTTTTAAGATTTTATTTATTTATTTGGGAGAGAGAGAATGAGAGACAGAGAGCATGAGAGGGAGGAGGGTCAGAGGGAGAAGCAGACTCCCTGCCGAGCAGGGAGCCCGATGCGGGACTCGATCCAGGGACTCCAGGATCATGACCTGAGCCGAAGGCAGTCGCTTAACCAACTGAGCCACCCAGGCGCCCCAAGAAAGCCATTTCTATTTTTAATGATAATGAAAACCTGAAAGGAACGAAAAGGATTTTTTGTTTTTATAGAGACAAGAAAGTAACAATAAACCTACTTTAAATCCATTCAAGCCTGAGATTCCAAAAGGAAATAGGAAATATACCTAGGTTTTAGCTACTTTTTGTTTTGTTGAAAAGGAGTAATGAATACATAAACAACACAACACATAAAAATCTCCTTTATTTTAGCTTCACTTAATATGGCCACCAACCTGAGGAGAGTAATAAGACTTATTTTCATTTATTTTAGAACCTGTGTACTTTTTTTTTTTTAAAGTAGACTCCATGCCCAGCACTGAGCCCAACATGGGGCTTGAACTCACCACCCTGAGCTCAAGACCTGCGCTGAGATCAAGAGTCAGACGCTCAAGTGACCGAGCCACCCAGGCACCCCAGAACTTGTGTACTTCTAAAAGAGAGGGCAACTAATTAAAATTAATGTGTAGGTTGAAATACATTTTGTTGTACTTACTTACAAAGCTGCCTTAATGAATTAGCTCTGTTTGGAATAGTCTGTACCAGTGTTTTCTCTGGCAAGTTAACCTTGTCCAGACTCCCTCACTCACTACCTTCATCCCAACCTGGAATAAGCAAACCAACAGTCATCCACCCACTGTGGGTAGATAAAAGATTTAAAATAACTATAAACTATAAAAATACCCTCCTGCATTTTAGCCACAAGGACATATTATGATGAGGATGATCTTGTGAAGCCCCATAGCAGATTCACTTAGAAGGAGTATTTACACTGAAAGAGCACAGTTGGCCTAGAAAAGGTAACACTATAGAAACATACCCCATCAGGGGCGCCTGGGTGGCTCAGTCGTTAAGCGTCTGCCTTCGGCTCAGGTCATGATCCCCGGGTCCTGGGATCAAGCCCCACATCGGGCTCCCTGCTCCGTGGGAAGCCTGCTTCTCCCTCTCCCACTCCCCCCCTGCTTGTGTTCCCTCTCTCGCTGTGTCTCTGTCAAATAAATAAATAAAATCTTTTAAAAAAATAAATATATAAACATACCCCATTAGAAGCTTTCTTCTTTGCTTTCCATTCATCTAGTTGTGCCTTTGTCTTTGCATCAACTTTAACAAGGAGCTTCTTTTCTCCAATCTGCAGGTCATGCAATAACCTGAGTGCACGGAGGGTAGACTCGGGTTCCTTATACTCACAGAAGCCGAAGGCTAGAAATGGATGTAAAGAATTAGTGAAATATCAATACAGTGATGAAAACAAAATATTTATGGAAAATTAAAATCATTAGAGACCAAATGTTCTAATACCAGGATTATCATGTTGTCACTTCTCCCTTTCCTTCGATTACCCTTGATGATTTTACTTTTAGCACCCTCAAACCACCAAAAGAAAAAAGAAAACAAGAACGGGAAAGAAAAGAACTCTGATCAGGCAAATTGCTACTTATTACAAGTGCTGATAAAATACTGAGCAGAACCACAAATTTCATAATTGAAGTCTTTTAATTATTTCCTGAATTCATTCTATCCAAACCTCCTCAGAGCTACCTACAAATAAGTGACAACAGGCTCTTTAAACCTACCACAAGGACTTTCCTTTTTTTAAATAGGATATTTCTCCTGTTTTTGTTTTTTTTTAAAGATTTATTTATTTTAGAGAGCGTATGGGAGAGAGCGTGCATGCACACAAGCACAGGAGGGGCAGAGGAAGAGAGAAGACACTCTCAGGCCAACACCGCACCCCACCCCTGCCCCTGCTCGGCGAGGAGTCCGACACAGAAATCAAGAGTTGGACGCCTTACCAACTGAGCCACCCAGGCACCCCACAAGCACTTTTCAATTCTGAGAAGTTAAACTACAAATGTACTGACCTTTTTATCCTAATAATAAGTTTATTTTTCTGAATCTGTTTAATTTTAACAGCTAGTCTCACCATTATTACCATGCCTTTAAATCAGAGATATTAAAACATACACTTTAAAGGAGTAAAAATTGGGGGCGCCTGGGTGGCTCAGTCGTTAAGCGTCTGCCTTCGGCTCAGGTCATGATCCCAGGGTCCTGGGATCGAGCCCCGCATCGGGCTCCCTGCTCTGCGGGAAGCCTGCCTCTCCCTCTCCCACTCCCCCTGCTTGTGTTCCCTCTCTCGCTGTGTCTCTCTCTGTCAAATAAATAAAAATAAAAATAATAACGGAGTAAAAATTGAAAATTAAAAAAATGAATCCAAATATGTATAGTTAAGGACACAACCACATAGAGAGGAACTATTCAGAGTGATTTTAAAACAGCAAATTTGACCACAGGTTTTTAGTGCGATATAAGATGGACAAAAGACCTGTCAATAAACAAGAAAATTTCTATTATCACATTGCTGATGATAGTGTTGGTATTAGTAGTCTTAAACTGTTGTACATGAAATGTAAGATGAAGCAAGCCAGTAATTACTTAATAGACTATCATCCCGATGTCCTTGAAACTAAGGATTCTCAGTATGGGAGGGAAAAAAAAGAAGATATATTACAGAAAAGGTTAAATAAAACATCCTGAATGTAAACTAATATGCACTAATATGCGCTGGAAAAATGTAAAGGCAAAGACTAAACAAGTGTTTTATAAAAAATATTTATTTAAGTAATCTCTACACCCAACATGGGGCTCGAACTCACGGCCCCGAGGTCAAGAGTTTCACAGCCCAAGATCAAGACTTGCACGCTCCTGACTGAGCCAGGCTGGCCCTCCAAGACTAAACAAGTCTTATAATGAGTATATCTAATTCCCAGACTGTGATTTTTAAAGCAATTTCCCACTAAAAAAAAAAACAGAGTTCCTTAAAGAAATGGCTGATCCTAAGTATGGGACAGAAAAACTTCTGGATGAGTTTATAAGATTCCAAATCCCAGATAACATTCCAGACAATAAGGTAGCTATCAAAGGCAGTTAGGCTTGTGTCAAAGCCACTGGAAACCCAATTTGCAGAGAAGATGTAAGACAATTTAAGCTTCACTAGCAATAATGACAATTAATTCTTATTAAATATAACAAATTGAACATATTTCAATCCCTAAGTTCAAAATGGTTTTAAAAAAAGTCACTGCTGGGGCACCTGGGTGGCACAGTCAGTTGAGCATCCGACTCGTTTGATCTCAGCTCAGTCTTGACCTCAGGGTCATGAGTTCAAGCCCTGCACTGGGCTCCACGCTGGGCATGGAGCTTACTTTAAAAAAAAAAAAAAAGTTACTGCTAAATGATACTGAGGACATCAACTCATTCTTTTGAAAAATGAAAGAACCACAGCATTTACCCTGTTTTCCTAATACAATTAATTCTAATAAAGAGGATTTGTTCTTCAATGAAAGAATGACAGAATTCTTCAAAATAGACCACCACATTTTGCAACCCTCTAATGAATGAACCAATCCAGGAATAGACAATCAACAGCTGCTACCACAAAAATTTTAAAAATTAAAAAAACAAAACAGTGTCTCATGATGAAGAACAATACCTTTAAAAAATTCATTTTTTTTAAAGATTGTATTTATTTATTTGACAGAAAGATAGACAGTGAAAGAGGGAACACAAGCAGGGGGAGTGGGAGAGGAAGGAGCAGGCTTCCTGACTAGCAGGGAGCCCGACGCAGGGCTCGATCCCAGGACCTTGGGATCATGACCCGAGCCAAAGGCAGAGGCTTAACGACTGAGCCACCCAGGTGCGCTACCTTTAAAAAATTCTTACAAATAAAAAAACAAAAATAACACATGCGAACTCAAATCTGATTGTGTCTCAAGATACAACCAGTTTACATAAAATACAGAGACAGAGAAGCATTGGCACATTATTCTACTGGAGCTGCAATCAGCAAATCTACACTCAAGAAATGCTACTGAGCAATTGAACCAGTTTCTCCCACAAATAATTCCAAGGGAAAAGAGATAGAAGAACTTAAATTATTAAGAGACTTAAAAATATGCCAACCAATTGCAATGTGTGGACTATATATGGATCCTGTATCAACTATTGAAAGAGTTGACATTTGTAACAATTGGACATCAGAAAACTGAATTATGATACTAAGAAAAGGTTAATTTTTGAAGCTTTTATAGCATTTTCAGTATGTTTTTTAAAAAGCTCTTATCTCGGGGGACCTGGGTGGCTCAGTCGTTAAGCGTCTGCCTTCGGCTCAGGTCATGATCCCAGGGTCCTGGGATCAAGCCCCGCATCGGGCTCCCTGCTCTGCGGGAAGCCTGCTTCTCTCTCTCTCCCACTCCCCGCTTGTGTTCCCTCACTCGCTGTGTCTCTGTCAAATAAATAAATAAAATCTTTAAAAAAAAAAAAAAAGCTCTTACCTCTTAGAGATACACGCTAAAATATTTACAGACAAAATGATGGATGCTTGGGATTGCTTAAAAAAAATATGAGGAGGAGGGGCGCCTGGGTGGTTCAGTTGCTTAAGCGACTGCCTTCGGCTCAGGTCATGATCCTGGAGTCCCGGGATCGAGTCCCGCATCGGGCTCCCTGCTCAGCAGGGAGTCTGCTTCTCCCTCTGACCCTCCCCCCTCTCTCATGTGCTCTCTCTCTCCTCTCATCTTCTCTCTCAAATAAATAAATAAAATCTTTAAAAAAATATATATATATAAGGAGGAAATGGACAGAGTACAGGTTAAGCACAACTGGCCATGAGATGATAAATGTTAAAGCTAGGTGACAAGTATGTAGAAATTCATCATATTATTTTAATTTTACATATGCATGAATTTTCCCATAATAAATACTGTTTAAAGAATGCACATCAAACAGGTGCTTTGGGCGCCTGAGTGGCTCAGATGGTTAAATGTCTGCCTTTGGCTCAGGTCATGATCCCAGGGTCCTGGGATCGAGTCCTGCATGGGGCTCCCTGCTGAGCAGGGAGCCTGCTTCTCCCTCTGCCTCTCTCTCTCTCTCTGTCTCTTATGAATAAATAAATAAAATCTTAAAAAAAAAAAAAAAAGGTGCTTTTACCACCAAGAATGAAAAGAACAGTTTGCTTCTAAGACTAACAGGTCATCTGACCATCTGTTCTGCTTTCTTCCTAAGTCCTAATTGTTGAATGTTGATCATATACTCCTGCTCTGCAAAAAAAGGACTTTTCAAAATAACACTATAAAAAAACAGACTAATTTTTCCTCTCCTACCTCTTTCCTGTTAATACTTTTCCACTTTCTAAACTCAACTCAGCTAAATCTTCCCAAATGCCTTTAATCCTATTCCAATCAGAAGGAAGACAAGAGTGCTGACAGAATACTCCCATGGTTAAGGGCAATGAGAGCAAAACATGCAACAAGTGACTTAAGCACACAGATTAAAATTATCTCAGTAAGAAAAATAACCTACCTTGAAGTTTTCCAGATGCACCTTGTACTCTCTTCCAGCTCAAAACCAAACCACATTTCTTAAAAAGAAAAACAAAACAAAAAATGATCATTACCATTTAAGAAAATCACCTAAACAGTACTAAAGAGCACAATTGATATTTCCACCAGGAGAAAGATAAAAGCAAAAAGCAAAAAAAAAAAAAATCATACCAGCTATGAGTCCTTAAAATTCTCTCAATCCCCACATACCTATTATATGAAAGAAATCTATAATATAAATTCTTATTTGCAGAGAATTGACTACCTTTTAGATTTTATTTGGGGGGCGGGGAGATAGCGAAGAGTGGGGAGAAGGGCAAAGGGGGAGGGAGAGGAAGAGGGAGAGAATCCCAAGCAGACTCCACGCTGAGCATGGAGTCCAACTCAGGGCTCGATCTCACAACCCTGAGATTACAACCTGAGCCGAAACCAAGAGTCAGACACTCAACCAACTGAGCCACCCAGGCACCCCTTGACTACCTTTTAATAAATTAGAAATTTTACAGCATTGGGGCACCTGGATGGCTCAGTCTGTTAAGCGTCTGCCTTTGGCTCAGGTCGTGATCCCAGGGTCCTGGGATCGAGCCCCACATTGGGCCCCCTGCTTGGCAGAGAGCCTGCTTCTCCCTCTCCCACTGCTGCTCTGCCCACTTGTGCGATCTCTCTGTGTCAAATAAATAAACAAAATCTTAAAAAAAAAAAAAAAAAAAAATTTTTACAGCATTATTTATCCTACTCGGAATGTATACATAAAAAAACAAAATTACCAATATTATAATTTTTAAAATAAACTATAGAAAATTCAAGTAAAAACTCTGAATCCATAGAGATCATGTTTTAAAACACACATCTATATTGGGCGCCTGGGTGGCTCAGTTGGTTGAACGACTGCCTTCGGCTCGGGTCATGATCCTGGAGTCCCTGGATCGAGTCCCGCATCGGGCTCCCTGCTCAGCGGGGAGTCTGCTTCTCCCTCTGACCCTCCTCCCTCTCATGCTCTCTGTCTCTCATTCTCTCTCTCTCAAATAAATAAATAAAATCTAAAAAAAAAAAAAAAAACCACATCTATATTACAAAGAACTTTTTTTAAAAGATTTTTTAAAAGTAATCTCTATACCCAATGTGGGGCTCGAACTCACTACTCTGAGATCAAGAGTCGCATGCTCTACTAACTGAGCCAGCCAGGCGCCCCTATATTGTAAAGGATTTTTAATAACATGGAAAAATGCTTGATATGGAATGCAAAAATAACATGGGACATGAAATTGCAGATAACATAGTAAGACTTTAACTATGTAAAGAAAAAAAATTTCCGTAAATCAGAAATATTAATAGGGCAGGTTGTCTGAAGAGTAAAACATTACATTTTGTTGACGTTCAAATTTTTTTATATTATTTCTCTTTTTTATATAAACTTACTTATTTGAGAGAGAGAGTGTAAGCAGGCAGAGAGGCAGAGGGAGAGAATCTCAAATGGACTCTGCTGAGCAGGGAGCCCGACACAGGGCTCAATCCTAGGACCCTGAGATCATGACCTGAGCTGAAACCAAGAGTTGGACACTCAACCAACTGCACCACCGAGGCGCTCCAAACATCATTTCTAATTAAGTAAAAACTAGAAAGTTAAAAAACACTTATTTGTAGGAAATGGTAACTGAACATTGCCTGTCAAAGCTGAGAATGCATGAAATTTTCACATCTCCCTTCAGAGAAACCAATAAAATGATTATCAAGGAATATAAAAGATAAAACTCCATGAGGTCAAACATTGTATGAGCAAACAGCAAAATTCAACAAAATTTTGAAAAGAAAAAAGGCAAATGGAAGGATGGGAACTCATTCAGTAGATCAAAGAAAGCTGTAACTTAAGGATCTACAGATAAAGATACTGATAAGAATTAGGCTAATTGATTCTACAAAGCCAAGTCATCTGGACTGGAGGTAAAAGGTAGCCACAGTGGAGAATGGGATTGAAGGATGAGGCTGAATAAAAACAGGTGCTTGCGGGGCTCAGTCGGTTAAGTGTGTGCCCTTGGCTCAGGTCATGATCTCAGGGTCCTAGAATCAAGCCCCACGTCCTTCCTGCTCAGCAGGGAGTCTGCTTCTCCCTCTGCCCCCACCCATCATGCTATCTTTCTCAAATAAATAAAATCTTAAAAAACAAAAACAAAAACCAGGTACTTGCCTGACAATATGAATATGGAATAATCAAAGCCTCAGTTCTTTTCAAGCCAACTACTTTACTCCCCACCCCTAGAGAAGATAGCCTGCAGTCTTATAGGCAACTATACTTAATAATCTCCATCCTCTAAAGATGTGGTATATATAGATACAATGGAGTATTATGCAGCCATCAAAAAATGAAATCTTGCCATTTGCAACAACGTGGATGGAACTAGAGTGTATTATGCTAAGTGAAATAAGTCAGAGAGAAACAAGTATGATCTCACTGATATGAGGAATTTGAGAAACAAAACAGAAGATCATTGGGGAAGGGAGGGAAAAATGGAACAAGACGAAACCAGAGGGAGACAAACCATAAGAGACTCTTAATCTCAGGAAACAAACTGAGGGTTGCTGGAGTGGCGGCGGGTGGGAGGGATGGGGTGGCTGGGTGATAGACAGTGGGTAGGGTATGTGCTATAGTGAGTGCTGTGAATTGTTTAAGACTGACGAATCACAGACCTGTACCCCTGAAACAAATAATACATTATATGTTAATAAAAAAAATAATAATAAATAAATAAAAATAATCCTATACTCACTAGGCATGAAACTGGAAGTCTTCTAGAGAAACCAACGAGCCCCAAAGAAAAGAACTCCATATATTAACATTCAAAACCTCTACCTGCTGGCTAGATTACCCTACAATGATGCTCAATATTTTACAAACCCAGCTTATTTATGCATACAACAACTTTTTTTTTAATTTTAATAAATCTCTACACCCAAAATGGGGCTCGAACTCACAATCCCAAGAGACACACGCTCCACTGACCAAGCCAGCCAGGCACCCCCAAAAAACTTTAATCCCTAACTCTTAAATATGAAGACAATCAAGATCATTAGATATTTAAGGAATGCCTTAAATGAAAAATGAAAGGAAGAGATAAATTCAGGAATGAAGCTTCAAACAAAACACTGTGCTGCACATATAAGTTAAGAACAGGTTTAAAAGAGGTTTTGGGGTGCCTGGCTGGCTCAGTCAGTTAAGTGTCTGGCTCTTAATTTCAGCTCAGGTCTTTATCACAGGGTCATGTGTTTGGGCCCCGTGTTGGGCTCCAAGCTGGGCATGGAGCCTACTAAGGGGAAAAAAAAAGGGGGAGAGAAAGAGAGAGCTTTCAAATAGGATATAGGAGATATATATATATCCTCACACACCTGCACACAAATATTCACAGCACCATTATTCATAATACCCAAAAAGTAGAAACAACTCAACTGTCCTTCAACTGATGAATGGATAAATAAAATGTGGTATATCCATTAGATGGAATATTTGGTCATAAAAAGGAATGAAATACTGATATAAGCTACAATATAGATGAAGCCTGAAAATATTTTAAATGAAAAAAGACAAAACATGGGCGCCTGGGTGGCTCAGTTGGTTGAGTGACTGCCTTCGGCTCGGGTCATGATCCTGGAGTCCTGGGATCAAGTCCCGCATCGGGCTCCTTGCTCAGCGAGGAGTCTGCTTCTCCCTCTGACCCTCCCCACCTCATGCTTTCTCTCTCTCTCAAATAAATAAATAAAATCTTTAAAAAAAAAAAAAAAAAAAAAAAGACAAAACATGAAAAGCCGTACATATTCTATGATTCTGTTTATATAACATGCCCAGAATAGGCAAATCTACACAGAGAGAAAGTAGGATAGTGGCTGCCATATGCTGGGGAGAGGAGAGAACGGAAAGTGACTTATTGAGCACAGGGTTTCTACTTGGGGTGATGAAAATGTTCTGGAATGAAGACAAGGTGATTGTTTGTACAACTTTCTGAAAATACTAAAAAAAACCCCACTGAATTATACATTATAAAAGGGTGAATTTTAAGGTCTATGAATTATATCACAACAAAGATGGTTTTTAAAAAATGACTTCCCGATGTTCTTGTAAAACTGAAGATAAACATGCCCTAAGACTCAGAAATTCCACTTCTAAAATAATACATGATAGAAATTTTTTCATGTGACTGAGGAAGACACATTACCTATAATACAGCAAAACATAGTATCAAGAAATAGAAACGGGGCGCCTGGGTGGCTCAGTTGGTTAAGCGACTGCCTTCGGCTCAGGTCATGATCCTGGAGTCCCGGGATCGAGTCCCGGGATCGAGTCCTGCATCGGGCTCCCTGCTCGGCGGGGAGTCTGCTTCTCCCTCTAACCCTACCCCCTCTTGCACTCTCTCTCTCTCTCTCAAATAAATAAATAAATAAATAAATCTTTAAAAAAAAATTTTTAATTAAAAAAAAATTGTTAAGCTAGAGCTATATATATGTTAGGTGAAAAAAGCAAATTACGGAGTACAGAATTAAAACTTGTGAATTATAGATTCCTATGAATATACAAATATGTAATTAAAGTAAAAAATAGGAGCACCGGGGTCTAAGTGTCCGCCTTCAGCTCAGGTCATGATCCCAGGGTCCTGAGATCGAGTCCTGCATCAGGCTCCCTGCTCAGTGGAGAGCCTGCTTCTCCCTCTCCCTCTGCTACTCCTCCTGCTTGTGCTCCCCTGCTTGTGCTCTCTCGCTCTCTGGCTCATTCTCGCTCTATCTCAAGTAAATATAAATAAATCTTTAAAAAATAAAAATAAAGTAAAAATGCACACAGGAATGATAAACACCTAATTTAGGATAATGGATTTCCCCGGTGATTACCTCCGTGGAAGAAAGAAGTGGGAATCAGGACCAACTATAATGTTTTATTTCTCTGGGAGAAACATCTGAAGCTAGTATCATAAAATATTGAATGTGACAAAGCTGAGTTTTGTATTTTAACACAAGGATCATACAACTTATAAAACAGAAATGGCAATAAAATCAAGAAGGAAAAGATTTTAAAATAACTTCTCTAAAAAATAGTGGAGATTATGGAGGGAGGAAGTACAGGCACTGTTGTTTTTCATCATAAAATCGTTTGGTATTATTTCACTTAATGCTCATTTATCACCAGGATAACAATTGTTAAACTAAGACAAAAAGGAAAACCAATGACTTCACAAACTCGAAAGAACTTATTGTTTATCCTCAGAATAAAAACCTTAAAAGCAATTAATCACCACTAAATGCTAAAATCATTGTTTTAAAGGCTGCCGGGGGAGGAGGTGGTATGAGGGGTGGGGGCTGGGGGGAGAATGATGCAACTCAAATGGTCTCAAAACATTAACCCAGAGATTACTTATTAATGACAAAGGGAAACAAGGTATCCTTACAATAAAGAGATGCGACCACCTTAACCAAGTTACTAAGCTGAACATCACCAAAAACAGGACCAAGAGACGCCACGTGCCTCTTGTTATGCTGCACTGAGAACATCATCCATGAACCATTCTTGCAAAAAATGCTTACTCTGAATCTATGAGCAAAGAGTCAAATTCAAATTGAGATATTCTGCAAAAGACCTAAACTCTTCAAAAAATGTTAATGTCATGAAAGACAAAAACAAGCAAACAAAAAAAAGGACAGGAAGGTATTCTGTATTACAGAAGTTGTCTAAAGAGGTATGACAATTCAACGCAATGTATAATCCTTGACTGAATCACAGATAAAACAAAAAGCAGCTGTTATGAAGATTACTAAGGAAATTACATATGAACTATTAAGTATATTTAGATAACAATACTATATCAGAAAAAAACCCCAATACTGTAACAGCCTTAAATTTCTTAAGTGTGATGATGGTTTTATGATCATAATAGGAAAATGCCCTTGGTCTTAGGAGAAACAAGTATTTAGAGATGAAAAGTCATGTCACAACTTACCCTCCAACTATTGAGTAAAAAAGTGTGGTGTGTGTATGTAGAAAGTAAATGTGGCAAAATGTATTACAAGAATGTTCATTTTACTATTCATCCAACTTTTCTGCAGAATTGAAATTTTTCAAAATAAAAAGGAGAGAACAATTAGAATCCTCTCTGCTTTTTCATAAATTTAAAATCCATAACAATAAAATTTAAAAATGAGAAACAGTTTAACTTACAGCAAGGAGTTGTCTTATAAGCATGTCTGAGGCTTTCTCAGAAATGTTGCCAACAAAAACTGTAGTAGTGGGACCACAATTTTCATCATTTTCTTTAGCCTTTAAGCCTGGGTGATCCTTTCTTGCTCCCAAATGCTTTCCAACCATGGACACAGTTGGTACTAAAACCTAGAGTGAAGAAAAGCAATAAAATTGGAACTGGCAATTAAATTTCCTATCATATTTAAAGTAACATTAGTCTAAAAACAATTTTAAAGTACTAAGTATACGGCACATTATTAAAGGTTCTACATACTTAATCTAAAGCTTCTATCATTTTTCATTAATGCAAATTTATTCATGACAAGTTCCACTATTAGAGTACCTTTTTTTTTTTTAACAAGATTTGAGAGAGAGCACACATACAAGAGAGGGGACGGGCAGACGGAGAAGGAGAGAATCTCAAGCAGACTCCCTCTGGAGCCCCGATGTGGGGCTAACGACCCCTGAGATCTAAGGACTCTGAGATCATGACCTGAGCTGAAATCAAGTCAGACGTTTAACCGACTGAGCTACCCAGGCACCCCAGATTACCTTTCTTTTGAAAACAACTTGGGGGGCGCCTGGGTGGCTCAGATGGTTAAGCGTCTGCCTTCAGCTCGGGTCATGATCCCAGGGTCCTGGGATCGAGTCCCGCATTGGGCTCCCGGCTTGGCGGGGAGCCTGCTTCTCCCTCTCCCTCTACTGTTCCCCCTGCTTGTGCTCTCTCACTCTCTGTATCAAATAAATAAATAGAATCTTTAAAAAAAAAAAAAAAAGAAAAGAAAACAACTTGGAAAAAGCAAATAAAAAAAATTTGGATGAAAATTTTTTTATATTTAAGACATAATTCTTAAATGTCTAAGACATCATAAATCATTTAAAATTATCAAATAAAAGTATCAAATAGATCCAGGAGCTTCTTCACAACTCTACTCTGTACGAATATAAAAGCAAATTTCAGGATGCCTGGCTAGCTCAGTCAGTTAGGTATCTGACTCTTGATTTCAGCTCAGGTCGTGACCTCAGGGTCCTGGGATACAGCCCCGCATCAGGCTCCATGCTCAGGGGAAGTCTGCTTCTCCCCGCCCCCACTTGTGCTAGCTCTAAAATAAATAACCCCCCCAATTTTTTTTTAAATAAGAGCAAACTACAATTATCCCCACTAATCCTCTGACAGAGCATTACTAATATTCTCAGAGCACTCTCCAACACTTAAATTTTACCTTTATCAAGTTAGTTACTTTTTTTCTTTTTAAGATTTTATTTATGGGCGCCTGGGTGGCTCAGTTGGTTAAGCAACTGCCTTCGGCTCAGGTCATGATCCTGGAGTCCCGGGATCGAGTCCCGCATCGGGCTACCTGCTCGGCGGGGAGTCTGCTTCTCCCTCTGACCCTCCTCCCTCTCATGCTCTCTGTCTCTCATTCTCTCTCTCTCAAATAAATAAATAAAATCTTTAAAAAAAAAAAAAAGATTTTATTTATTTATTTGACAGAGAGAGACACAGCGAGAGAGGAAACATAAGCAGGGGGAGTGGGAGAGGGAGAAGCAGGCTTCCCGCTGAGCAGAGAGCCCGATGTGGGGCTCGATCCCAGGACCCTGGGATCACGACCTGAGCCGAGGGCAGACGCTTAATGACTGAGCCACCCAGGCGCCCCTCAAGTTAGTTACATTTTTTATTTTCCCTTTATAACATTCAAATTCCCAGAGGAAGAACAATCCTACGGATTTTTGTATCTGGAACTGAATTTTGCGAAACATCCACAGCAGGCACCGAATAAATAATGGTGAACTGAGGAAGCTGCTCCAAACCCCAACACCCACCTTTGCCTAGGATGAAATGCAAGAGAGTAAGAGTACCTGTCACGTGGAGGTTTTCCAAAATAGCCAAACAATGGGTATCCAATGCAAGAAAAATTGTACTCCCCCTTGATCTGCAGAACCACATCATCTTAGTGATCTGCCTCACAGCAGATTCCTGTTTGCCCACAGAGTTACCATCTCCTTTTTAATATGAATAATACTCCCCTTCCTCCCTTTTCAAAATCCACAGATAGAAAAATACTTGAAAGTAATGAAATCTACCCTTCTCATAGTGGAATTCCAGATGAAGTCTGATGCTCTACCACTTAACTCAAAGAAAAATTCTGGTTAAACAACAGTTAAGACGGTTATTATTTATTCATGTGTTACAGCATATTAGCATTCTGAACTAATATACTTAGAATGTACAAAAGCTTTGATGAATGTGAAGAATTAAGGCATAAAGTAGACTGAATAATAAAACACTTTAGCAGAGTAAAGGCTTCAAGAAAACTTTACAAAGCTTAAAGATATCATACCAGAGGACAGAGAAAAAATAGTTTGGAAGGGGCTAAAAATCAGGTGAGAGGAAAGGATGGAAATATATTCAACACAAAATTCACTTCAAAATTTAAATTTCTAGGGCACCTGGGTGGCTCAGTTGGTTAAGCAACTGCCTTCAGCTCAGGTCATGTTCCTGGAGTCCCAGGATTGAGTCCCACATCAGGCTCCCTGCTCAGTGGGGAGTCTGCTTCTCCTGACCCTCCCCCCTCTCATGTGCTCTCTCTCATTCTCTCTCTTTCAAATAAATAAAATCTTAAAAAAAAAAAATTTTTTTTTTTTATTTCTACTAGAATCATTTCTACAGTCTTTTTTTTTTTTTTTTCCTTTTATGAGATTAAACATGTCTGATCACTCTCCTACCTCCCAGGACCAAGACAAGAGTAGGGAATGATAAAAGAGCCAATGTACTAAATCTAAAGTAACAAGAATATGAACAGTCTAGAGAATATATGTAAATAGGGAGCCTGTTTTAAAGGCAACTGCATAATATGCATAGCTGAGTGAAAATGATACTCAAATAAGTAGTATGATATACATGGATGCTCTCACTCCCTATTATTCTTTTAAATACTTAAAATAAGGGGCGCTTGGGTGGCTCAGTCATTAAGCATCTGCCTTCAGCTCAGGTCATTATCCCAGGGTCCTGGGATCGAGCCCCGCATCAGGCTCCCTGCTCCGCGGGAAGCCTGCTTCTCCCTCTCCCACTCCCCCTGCTTGTGTTCCCTCTCTCGCTGTGTCTCTCTCTGTCAAATAAATAAATAAAATCTTTTTTAAAAAAATAAATAAATAAAATAATTTAAGTTTATCAAGGTTTTTTTTAGCTTTAGAAGCAGCAACACAACTGTATCTCCTAATTCCTCCTTAAAATCATACTTACAGTTGGAGCAGGAGCCATAATGCTCATTGGTACAGGAATCATTGGGGTCCCTAAGAAAAAAGCATATTAAAATCTTATGAATACAAGTATATATGACTATATTCTGTATCAATTCCATGGCACACAAATAGGTATCCTCACTCACAGTTAATTTAAGTTGAAATATATGACTGATGGAAATGAGATATTGATGAATGAATGCCTTATTTTAAAAAGCAATGTGGTACAGGCTGGTCTATATAAACTTACACAACAACAAAAAACTATTCTAAAAGCGAAGACTAGGGCACCTGGGTGGCTCAGTCGTTAAGCGTCTGCCTTCGGCTCAGGTCATGATCCCAGGTCTGGGATCAAGCCCCGCATCGGGCTCCCTGCTCAGCGGGAAGCCTGCTTCTCCCTCTCCCACTCCCCCTGCTTGTGTTCCCTCTCTCACTGTGTCTCTGTCAAATAAATAAAATCTTAAAAAAATAAAATAAATAAAATAAAATAAAAGCAAAGACTACCACTACAACATGCTTTTGTCTCAGGAGTTTAAAAATCTGGACAGTTACTGATTCATGTTCATCTGATTCAGTACATCCTGAAAGCCATTAACTTACGCAAATACAGATTCACTTATGGCTAAACATGGTATTAATGAATCCTTTAAAAGTTAAAAAAAAAAAAGGTATCAAATGAGAAATTAATCTAGAAACCTAGAATCTTGTTATTGCTGGTTAATAAAAAGAAACCCCATGCAAAAATTTGACCAGCCATCTCAGTTCGTTTATCTCTAAGACAATCATCTGCTGGCTGCACTGGGCTATTATTGACATCTTAGTGATACCTACATTTTTGTTTTCAACTACACTGTTTACCAACCAGTGACTACTGCATTGAGTGTTCATGTGTATATAACTAATGAAAAAATCTTACCATCTGAGCACTAAGAAAAAGAATGCAATGAGGGCAAAAATCAGTGAAAGATTTGTCTACTTTTCTTTTCTTTTTTTTTTAAAGATTTTATTTATTTGAGAGAGAGAATGAAATAGAGAGAGCATGAGAGGGGGGAGGGTCAGAGGGAGCAGCAGACTCCCCGCTGAGCAGGGAGCCTGATGCGGGACTCGATCTGGGGACTCCAGGATCATGACCTGAGCCAAAGGCAGTGGCCTAACCAACTGAGCCTCCCAGGAGCCCGATTTGTCTACTTTTCTAATATAAATTTTTAAATGCTTCTAAATACATCTCAAAAAGTTCTGAAATTTCTCTTCAGTTCAAATTTAACATCAACTTAAGAGAATTCTCCAGCTAAGACTGGTAATAAATTCTTTGACAGGGGCGCCTGGGTGGCTCAGTCGTTAAGCATCTGCTTTCGGCTCAGGTCATGATCCCAGGGTCCTGGGATGGAGCCCTGCATCGGGCTCCCTGCTCCGCGGGAAACCTGCTTCTTCCTCTCCCACTCCCCTTGGCTTGTGTTCCCTCTCTCGCTCTCTCTCTCTCTGTCAAATAAATAAAATCTTTAAAAATAATAAATAAATTCTTAAACGTTTAACATTATCCATTTATTTTCCAATATAACTTATTTAAATTAATTTTTAAATGAGAAAAATCAAGATTCCTGTCAACATAGCCAACAGAATACTGTAAAAAATAGAAAAAAAACCACAGAGGTGCCTAGCTGGCTCAGTCAGAGAAGCAAGGGGCGCCTGGGTGGCTCAGTGGGTTAAGCGTCTGCCCTTGGCTCCGGTCATGATCCCAGGGACCTGGGATCAAGTCCCACATCGGGCTCCCTGCTCTGCGGGGAGGCTGCTTCTCCCTCTCCCTCTGCCTCTCCCTCTGCTGGTACACGCATGAGTGTTCTCTCCTCTCTAATAAATAAATTCTTTTTAAAAATAAAATAGGGCGCCTGGGTGGCTCAGTCGGTTGAGCGACTGCCTTCGGCTCAGGTCATGATCCCAGGGTCCTGGGATCGAGTCCCACATCGGGCTCCCTGCTCTGCGGGGAGCCTGCTTCTCCCTCTCCCACTCCCCCTGCTTGTGTTCCCTCTCTCGCTGTGTCTTTCTCTAATAAATAAATAAAATCTTAAAAAATAAATAAATAAAAATAAAAATAAAATAAAAATAAAGAAAAATTCAGAAAAAGACAGTGGGAAAAATTTTTTTTCTTTTTCTTTTTTTTTTTTTTAAGCAAGCTCTACACCCAACATGGAGCTTGAACTTAAAACCCCGAGATCAAGAGTTACATGTCTACAGAATGAGCCAGCCAGGCACCCCATTGCTTTTTCCTTTTTAACAGTTACTAAAAGCTTTTTGGGTTTTTTTTAAAGATTTTATTTAAAGCACAAGCAAGGGAGAAGCAGGCCGAAGGAGAAACAGGCTCCCTGCTGAGCAAGGAACCTCATGTGGGACTCCTGACCTGAGCCAAAGGCAGATGCTTAACCGACTGAGCCTCCCAGGCGTCCCAACAGTTCTACAAGTTTTACAGTTATGTTTCCTACCTCAACTTACTAATACCATACAATACAGAATTCACAGTGGAAAATGTATTTCTACTCATTACAAAGATCTACACATGCTAAAGTGAAAAGAAACAAAGAACACAAAGAGTGAACAGCGCAGTACTAGTTGAGTTTTTAAAAAAAAAAACAGGGTGCCTGGGTGGCTCAGTTGGTTACGCGACTGCTCAGGTCATGATCCTGGAGTCCCGGGATCGAGTCCCGCATCAGGCTCCCTGCTCAGCTGGGGGTCTGCTTCTCCCTCTAACCCTCTTCCCTCTCGTGCTCTCTGTCTCTCATTCTCTCTCTCAAATAAGTAAGATCTTTAAAAAAAAATTAAAAAATTTAAAAAAAACAGAAGTGGGGAAAGGGTAAACATAAGCAAACACACCAGGATATGCATAGTATGTGTCTGGAGAGTTACACACTAGAAACTGTTAAGAAAGGCTGTTTGGGGGAAGGAAATTCTCAGGAACCATAGGGGGAAAAAACTTCGTTTTTCTATACGCATGTATTACTTTTTAGGGAAAATTTAAGGTTATTTTTCAAATTGATTTTCTAATTTAACATAGAATGTGACCATCACACTTAGAGTTCAATTAATTGCACTAACAGGCAAGACAAGAAAATTATACATGAATATGGATATTATGGTCTTGAATTACTTCCCTAGTTTAGCATATTATTTCATCGTTTACCTTTTAAAGTATTGATGCTACACACAGAATGCAGAATGAGCTGCAACTAAAGTTTGATTTATCATCTAAATATATTTCCCTAAACAGAAATGATACTGTATGCTGTTGTAAATAGAATCAGAATTAACAGGTTACCACTCTGAATAAATGCCAACATCAGTATGGCAATGACCAACAGTCAAGAAGAAAAACTGACAGTCTGCTTTTGGGGTCTGCTGACCCATCTTAAAAAATTATGCAGAGAATAGTCTTAAGAGAAAAAGGTTTCATTTACTTCTACTTCTGTTTAATAATTTGGTATAATGTTTATAGAAAATGTTAAATTTAGTGTTTGCTTTTTAAAAATTCAAAGGAGGGCGCCTGGGTGGCTCAGTCGTTGAGCATCTGCCTTCGGCTCAGGTCATGATCCCAGGGTCCGGGGGTCAAGCCCCGCATCGGGCTCCCTGCTCCGTGGGAAGCCTGCTTCTCCCTCTCCCACTCCCCCTCCTTGTGTTCCCTCTCTCACTCTGTGTCTCTGTCAAATAAATAAAAAAAATCTTAAGAAAAATAAAAATAAAAATTCAAAGGAATTTAAAATCTTTTCTATAAAATCAATCTCTTTAGAAGGAAATTAAGGCACTGATTTTTCACTGTCACCTTCCCTGATTCTGAATAAGTGATTAAGCTTCATTCCCAACCCCTTAAATTTCTTCACAAAGAAATAAAAAGTAAACTATTCTTTCCTTTAAAACTATAACATAAGGATTTTTTAAAAAAAGTATCATGGTTACTAGTAAGGGCTAATAGATCTTCTTATGAGACTAGAAATTTATAAACAAAATCAGGATATATGAACCCCCCCAAAATTGTTGCCCAAATGAAAATGGCTCAGGACACTGTCATTCTTATGTTATTAATCTGTTAGATGGTTGACAAATAACTTTATTCAGTTTTCTGTTAACATTATTCTCTCAATCACCCTATTCAGCAGAAATTCCTTTGTATAGTACATTACAGAACAGCTAAATTACAGACTAAAATTCAGTAATTGTTCCATGATATAATAAACTGGCTCTAATTAAATTTTTTAAATTTAATTTAAATACGCATTTCAAACTATACCCCTGGCAGCAAGTGGTAACAAATACACATCCATGATTACCTAGGATAGCTTAAAACAAGTTGCTACAAGCATAAATGTCTTAAAAATTTGTACAAATTCTGCATTCTATTCCATGATATATATGCATAAGTACTTGCTCTAACTTTTAAAAGTATGATTTACCCCAAATTCCTGAAGTATTAAATAATATTCCAGAAACATTGCCATGTTTATCTTGTGGCTTTTCACACCTACTCCAACACTGCTATATACTTGACCTAGGAATAGGGAGGCCCCCACAGCTGAGCCTCTAGAATATATGTTATGAGTTAACAACCCAACTTATGAGCCAACTTCAATGTACTGTTGATTTCTCAAGAGTCAAGCTCTTTAGAAAAACACTGTAATTTCAAATAGATCATCCAACAGTTAAAAACAGGTCTCTGATATAAAGCTTTCCTCAAACAAAATACTTCCCGATGATTTACAAGAGCATTCGCTGATTTCAGCCTGAATTACACAGATTCTAAATGAAAAAAAAAAACTTTTAATATGCAAAATAAGGAGAGCTCTTAGGTATGGTCTTTTGGAAGGGAAACTGATTTTGTATAAAATGTTTTCAGTCCCACTAAAGTATAAAAATATCTGAACTACCACCCATAAACCAAAGGAAAACTCTTGCTCTCCCAGGCCAAGCAATGTTAATTATGTACCTTAAGATAATGGTTCTCAAACATGGGTTCTCTAAGCTATGCTTAAATACTTAGGAATCCCTTGTTAAAAATTGTTAAACTTGTTAAAAATAAAGATTCCTGGGCCCCAGTATTTGAGGATCTGAATCAGTGGGTTGGAGTGGAGCTTGAAAAAAATTTTTTTTTTAAACCTCAGAGAGTTTTGGCAAGAGGAAGCTTTTATATGGTTATTTGGAAAGCTCTCCAAAATATATTGTCAAGCATAAAAAAACAAGAGGCAGGGCGCCTGGGTGGCTCAGTCGTTAAGCGTCTGCCTTCGGCTCAGGTCATGATCCCAGGGTCCTGGGATCGAGCCCCGCATCGGGCTCCCTGTGCCACGGGAAGCCTGCTTCTCCCTCTCTCACTCCCCCTGCTTGTGTTCCCTCTCTTGCTGCATCTCTGTCAAATAAATAAATAAAATCTTAAAAAAAAAAACCAGTAGATAAAAAAATATATACTTAGGGGCAGCCTGGGTGGCTCAGTAAGTTAAGCATCCAACTCTTGATTTCGGCTCAGGTTATGATCTCAGGGTCATAAAATCAAGCCCCGTATCAGGTTCCTCGCTGGGCGTGAAGCCTGCTTGGGATTCTCTCCCTCCTTCTGCCCCTCCCTCCCGACTCACTTGCTCACATGCATGCACGCTCTCCCTCTCTCTCTTAAAAAAAAAAAAAAAAAAAAAGAATATGTACTTAGAGCAGCTTGTAATATGCATTAAAAACTATCTGGAAAAATAAACTAATGAGCCTGTTTTGTTTCCCTCTTTTGGTAAGAGAATAATAGCAACAGTTATGTGGAAATGTGAGCAAAATTTTTCACTGTATACCTTTTTAACTATTGAATCATATGAGTTAGTATGTATTTACTGGAATATGCATTATCTGTTTTTTTTAAAATAAAGGTGTTTCTTAAAAATCTTCCCAGATGAAAAGAAAAAAAAAAAAAATCTTCCCAGATGAATTTGATACTCAGCCAGATATGAAAAGGACTGTCACAGGAAAATAAGATACCACATTTACAGAAGGATGCTAACATCTTTACTAACACACAGTCACATACATATCATTTTCCTAAAAAAGCTATAATGACCAAAGTACAGGTTAAAAATAACAACAGTATCCACAAACTTACCTGGAGGTACAGGTGGAGGAAAACCAGGAAACTGTGGGGGTGGGATCCCTGGTGGGAGTGCTGGGATTCCCATGGGAGGGCGATTCAAATGAGGGGGGAAAGACATTCTTACTGCAGCGGTCTAAAGAAAAAAATCACGACAAATCATTTTATTTGAAAACTTTGCAATTTGATATGCCTGGTTTGTTGGCCTTCATTTTTAGAGTATCTGCAAAATTCTAAAGTTTTCTTACCCAAAGGAGTTGGCAAAGACCCTCTTTTCTCTGTCTGTCCATTGAGAATTTTTAAAACTTAGATCTTTTCTAAAATAAGTTCCCAAAATGTACACGATCTAAATTCAGGATAGACTCCTACAATCATATGGGAATACATATAAAGGAAGAAAAAAATTTTGAGGTTCAGTTAATATCCAAAAATTAAATACCAAACATCAATGAATTTTTTTAAACCAAACTCAGAATCCAGGAAGATTATCTAACAGTTTTTTTTTCTTTAAATGTTCTGATGCATTCATTTTTTTACACACATCAGCACCGTAAAAACTAAATCTACAAAGTTACACAGTATTTGTTGATTCAATGTTGGCCAGTTCCTCAAGGATATGTGAATGCCTCAGTGAACTATAACCCTGAGAGGGAAGAAACCTCCTGACATCAGGTCACATACTAACCACTCAGTTATAAAAAGAACATACAATTTGTGACAATGGGAAAATTTCCTAATTTTTGTTAAACTTAAAAGCAAACCCCTACAGGCTCCTGGGTGGCTCAGTCCTTAAGCGTCTGCCTTTGGCTCGGGTCATGGTCCCAAGGTCCTGGGGTCAAGCCCCGCATCGGGCTCCCTGCTCAGCGGGAAGCCTGCTTCTCCCTCTCCCACTCCCCCTGCTTGTGTTCCCTCTCTCACTGTGTCTCTCTGTCAAATAAATAAATAAAAATCTAAAAAAAAAAAAAAAAAGCAAACCCCTTAACCATTCATGAATGAAATTCAAGAATCAGAAACTAACATTTTTTTTAATACAAGAATACATTGAACTGTTTCATTTGGTTTGTGATATTATTACTTAAAAGAAATTTAATTTTGGGGCACTTGGGTGGCTCAGTTGGGTAAGCGACTGCCTTTGGCTCAGGTCATAATCCCAGAGTCCCAGGATCAAGTCCCACACATCGGGCTCCCTGCTCAGCAGGGAGTCTGCTTCTCCCTCTGACCCTCCCCCCTCTCATGCTCGCTCTGTCTCTCTCTCAAATAAATAAATAAATGAAACTTAATTTTGTCCTTTAGTTAAATGAACATAAATATTTAAGACTCCCGTACCACCAAATTTTATATTTTCATCAACATACTTGAGTGTCCAGAACTATTAGAAAAAGTAGAAAAACTACGTTAGGATGTCCTGGGAAGATTCCATGCACCAATTTAAAAAAGCAGCCAAAATAAGTGATCTCATACCAGTGATGGCACTAAATAGCAGTGATTTGATCAACAGGAGATATATCTGCCGGACACTAGGAAAAACTCCCCCTACACTCTGTAACTGAAGGGGTCTAGAGTTGTTGGAAGCTTGAAAAGAACATCTGTCTCTACTATTTTTTGTGTTTCATACATTGATTTACTCACCCTTCAGAAGAGAGAAGATAAAAAGTGCATGTCTTCCACTTCCTCGCCCCCTAATCCCAACAGTTTGGTATATATCGTTGTATTCTTCTAAATACCTTTCTATACACAAACTAATATATAATTATTTGTGTTTTTCTGCAAACAGTATAATCATACTATATTGTTAGGTGCATTTCTCCTTCATTATCATTAACATCTCTTCATATCAGTTTATTAAGTTCTATTCCAATCTTTATAATGCAGTAAACTACTATAATACAGGCATATAATAACTATTCAATCAACATGGATGGTTGGCTCCACATTTTTCCTCTTATAATACTGAACATTCTTGGACATATAAATCTATGCACCTGTGCAAGTAATTCTATTACACAGATTAGTACTACATTTATCTAACTTTACCTCCAAATCATTCTCCAAAGCTAGTGTACAAATCTATATCCCCACCACCAATATATGGGAATGCCCTTTGCTCAGAACCTCACCATTGCTAGAGTAAATCAGTGTTTAAATTATAACAATCTAATAGGTAAAAAATACTCTCATTTCAATATGCATTTCCTTAACCACTAATGAGGCTGAATATCTTTTTACCTGTTAGACATTTCTTTAAAACGATCTTAGAAAAGCATGCCCTTCAGACTCACAGCTGTTCTTCCTCAGTGTTCTTTTGACTTAATAAATTAGGATAATACAATATTCTATAAAATCTAAACTTCATTTTCAGAAAACACAATACACTTAAAATATTTAGAAAGCTTTACAAATAAAATAAATTCCTAGGATTTCATACACTTAGAAAATAAGGTATTGGAAATGCTTTAAAATATTAAGTATCAGCATAAATTAAAAAGGAAAATACAACTAATTAATGACTGTAAATGTGTTGAATTTTTAAATAATCTTTCTGTAATATTTTTTGCCCAAAAACAAAAACAAATATTCTATATAAAGGGGGCAGGAGTGTATCTCCTTTTAAAAGAGGGCTACTGTCCTACTTACAGAAACTCTTCTATTATCATTATATACTCTATCTCAGCACTTTCTTAGGAGAGCAGTTGATATTAATACCTGTTGAATAAATAAATCAATGAATGAATCAGTAAACCAATTTATTAAGAAGCTCCCATGTGCCAAGTACTATGCTAGCAATGACCCAGTGCTTAGCCTCACAATGTTTACAAAGACTGGAGCATGAATTCATCTCTAGAATTATTTATTGTCAAGTATTAGTTATAACTATTATTTTTTAAAGACCTATGTTCTTGGTGTTTAAATTATATTTCATGACTTTTAAATGTATAATTCATTATGTACAAGTTAACCAGATTATGTTTTAGTTTATGCCAATATATCCATTCCATTCACTTCTAATTTTTCTATTTTCTGTGTCCCTTTCATTTAGCACTGTTCATAATTTGCTTATTCACAGGCAAGCTTCAAAGGTGAAGGTAACCTTAATAAGATAATGGTCCCTCCTACGGTCAGAAAACTACAATTCTGGTAATCACTGATAAATATTAATGTTCACTTTAAACATCCTATAATGAGAGTATCAACCACTTTTTTCCAAATGAACTTTTGTTTTCACATATGTGAAAATGAGAATAAACTTTTATAACCATAAGCAAAGTTTATCAATTTTTACCTACAATTGATAAATTATAATACTCTCATTACAAATTATATAGAGATTCGGGGCACCTGGGTGGCTCAGTCGTTAAGCATCTGCCTTCGGCTCAGGTCATGATCCCAGGGTCCTGGGATTGAGCCCCGCATTGCATTGGCCTCCCTGCTCCGCGGGAAGCCTGCTTCTCCCTCTCCCACTCCCACTGCTTGTGTTCCTGCTCTCGCTATCTCTCTGTCAAATAAATAAAATCTTTAAAAAAAAAAAATTATATAGAGATTCAAATTTGGCAGGCACTTTGCAGAATAAAGTGGGGAAAAGAACTAGGGAGTGCTTTACTTAAATATGGTGGTCAGGCCTCACCAAGAAGGTAGGCAAATTGAACAAAGACTCCAAAGGGGCCTAGGCAGAAGCCTTGTATCTGAAGGTAATAGCCTTCCAAGCAAAGGAAACAGCAAATACAAAGAGCCTGAGGTGGGCATGGAGGGTTTGTGGGAGGAAAGCAAGGCCAACAGCTGGAGCAGAGTACTTGAGGAAAGTCAAAGATAAATGCCAAATATTACTTGGGGGAGGGGATTCAGAGAATGTGGTACTTTGTAGGCCACTGTAAAGGTTTTGATTTTTACTCTGAATGAGACGGAAAACATTTGAAAGACTTTTGACCTGACTTATATTTTAATAGTGTCACTGGCCACTGTGTTAAAACTGGAGAACAAGGGTAGAAGCAGGAGTATTGCAATAATGCAGACGAGAGAGGGTGGCCTGGAATAGGTGGTAGTGGTTAAGTGTTAGATTCTGGATGCAGTACTTTGAAGGTAGCCATTGCTACTGAGGGATCATGTGTGAGGTTTAAGAAAAGAAATGCAAAGGTTATTTTATTAGCACTGAAATGACTTAAATGACATTTAAAAATACTTGTATGTTTCACTTTCCCTTTGGAGTGTTTCACTTTTAGAAGGGGCTCAAGGCATTTTTACGTGCTAGGTATGAAACCTTAAGACCCAAAGTAAAAACAAGTACCTATGATGCAAGTGTTCCTTATCTCTAGTGTGGCAGTGGTCATATGGATTTATTATGCATTTGTCAGAATTAACTGAAATTAAAATGGGTGCATTATATTGTATGCAAATTTTCTCAATTAATCTCGCCTCCTCCATCCAAAACTTTTTCAAACAAAAAAAACTTTCAAATAAGATTTATCTCTACCACTCAAAATATGCCTGCATTCTGCTTTTCTCTTTTTCCTCTTTACACTTTTAAATCACTCCTTTTTTCCTACACCATTTACTGCTTACAACCATTCCTCCATTGCAGATTTATCCCAACAGAAAACAAATTATTTCACCAAGAATAGATATACTGGCTAACCCCATCGGGACACTGTGTGCCAGCCAAATTTCTGAATGGTTAGGAGGTAAATGAATCAACAGATTCTCCTTAGTAAACACTTATACAACTCATTCATTCATTCAACAAATATCTAGTTCCAATTGTCTGTCAGGTTCTTTTCTTTCTTTTTTTTTTTTTTAAAGATTTTATTTATTTATTCATAAGAGACAGAGAGAGAGAGAGGCAGAGGGAGAAGCAGGCTCCCCGCTGAGCGGAAAGCCCGATGTGGATGACCTGAGCCGAAGGCAGACGCTTAACCATCTGAGCCACCCAGGCACCCTGTCAGGTTCTTTTCTAAGCGTTAGTTTTATTAGCTCTGAAAGAGCAAATTTTAAGTTATTATATAGTTACACAGCCAGCCCAGTGGCTCTACACTGAATATATATGATATGACTATAGAAGGCATTGTTCCCTGCAGTTTATAGCCTGCAGGGTATAACGGACTGACATACCTGCCCCAGCCTAAGCAAAACGAAACCTTCAAAACATCATTTTTCAAACTGAATTTCTACAGAAGTGGAGGAGTCTCCGGGAACTATTCCTAAGAAAAAGTGTTCCATGTCCAAAGAATGGGAAATGCTTTATTAACAAAAAGTTTCTTTTGCAGGAAAACTTTTCAGAGGTGTGAAAATACTCAAGTCTCTCAAAGGGGAGCTGATCTTTTTCTGAGATTTCCACTTAGCTGTTTTACCATCTTCGATGATTAGAAAGTACACTATCTACAGAGAAAAATTAGTGGTAGTCTGAAGCTGAGGTGGGAACAGGGAGTGACGTGCAAACAGGAAAGAGGAATCCTTTTTGGAGTAACAGTTGCACAACTCTGAACATTTACTAAAAAATCATCAAATTACACATTACAAAGAGTGTATTTTATGTGTTAATTACACCTTAATAAAGTTGCTTTTAAAAAAAAGCAATACCAATTTGGGGCAATTTGAGGCTAAATCCAATTAAGACCTGTAGATTAGACAATACTGCATCAATATTAATTTCCTGATTTTGTTCACTGTACTGTTGTTAAATATGAAAATGTCTTTATTCTAGGAAATGTACACTGAAGTGTTTAAGGGCTACGGGATGTCTCATCTGCAGCTTACTAGCAAAACACTTCAGAAGAAAACTATGAAGAAAAAGAGGAGAGGATAAAGCAAATTTGTAAAATGTTATCAATGGGGAATCTGGGTGAAAGGTATCTGAGAATTCTTTCTACTATTCTTGAAACTTTTCTGAAGTTTGAAATCGTACCAAGTAAGTTTTAAAAAGTAGTATCAGGGGCACCTGGGTGGCTCAGTCCTTAAGCATCTGCCTTCAGCTCAGGGCATGATCCCAGGGTCCTGGGATCGAGCCCCGCATCAGGCTCCCTGCTAGGCGGGAAGCCTGCTTCTCCCTCTTCCACTCCCCCTGCTTGTGTTCCCTCTCTCTCTCTGTCTCTTTAAAAAAAAAAAAAAAAAAAAAAGGTAGTATCAATTCTGGTGGTGTAAATATTATGTTCTTTTTCTTAAGTTTCAAAATTCAAAAAAAGGGCAGAAAAAAAGCTATTCAAAAACTTTAAGGCGGAGTCAATCTAAATCCTTTTAGGAATGGCAGTGGTAGTTGTCAGAAAAGACTATCAAGATTAAACAAAATACACAGAATATTTTTGTAAGACATTAGAAGACTCAATGACTACTTCTGCTTCCAAAGTTACAAAACAGTCAATATAATTTTTCTTTAAACCATACATAAATGAGAAAAGTACATAGCTAATTTGTGGCCCAAAAAGTTACTTGAAAATCCCAAACTCATATTAGATCTGAAGTAGTTACCAATGTTAAAAAGAACTCATTTTATTTTAGAAACATATTTAAAAGCTTTACCACAGTGGAATAAAAAGATACCAAACCACAAAATAAAAACACTTAGCCCAAACTATTATTAATATATATGGTGCCTATTTGCAACACTGGAACAATAAAAACATTTTCTTCCTAGAAGTGGTTTGGAACCATACCTAAATAAGGGGAAAACCTACTTTGGGGATCCCAAATGGAAATTTGAGAACCCCAAGGATTTTTTTTTTTTTTTTTTTAAGTAGACTCCACACCCAGCGTGGAGCCCAACACAGGGCTTTAACTCACAACCCTGAGATCAAGACCTGAGCTGAGATCAACAGTTGGATGCTCAGGGCGCCTGGGTGGCTCAGTCAGATAAGTGTCTGACTCTCAATTTCGGCTCAGGTCATGATCTCAGTGTCTTGAGACCAATCACATGTCAGGCTCCACGCTCAGCAGGGAGTCTGCTTGAGAGTTTCTCTCTCTCTCTCTCTCTCTCTCTCTCAAATAAATAGATAAATCTTAAAAAAAAAAAAAAAAGAGTTGGACAAAAATAAAAATAAATAAAAATAAAGTTGGACACAAGTGACTGAGCCACCCAGATGCCCCAAGAAGATAAATTATTTAATAAAAATATTAACTAATGTATTAATTTACTTCTGTTTACAAAAGTCTTCAACATACATTATCTCACTGAATCTCCCAAATTACCTGGTGTAGATGTATTATTCTCCTTTTACAGATGAAGAAGCTAACCTGTCCAAGGGAACACAATAAGTGGGTGGGAACCCCAAGGTCATCCCCACTATCCTGAAATTACCAATCCAAAGGCTGTTTTCACTATATCACAATGCCTCTTTCTAGTAACAACATACCAAGAAGAAACTTCTGATTAAGGGTTAACTTTGATTTTATTTATAAAAGTCTATTCAGAGTACACTAGAAGAAATGTTAAGAGTCAGGATTAGGGCGCCTGGGTGGCTCAGTTGGTTAAGCGACTGCCTTCGGCTCAGGTCATGATCCTGGAGTCCCGGGATCGAGTCCCGCATCGGGCTCCCTGCTCGGCGGGGAGCCTGCTTCTCCCTCTGACCCTCCCCCCTCTCATGTGCTTGCTCTCTCTCATTCTCTCTCTCTCAAATAAATAAATAAATAAATCTTTTTAAAAAAAAAAGAGTCAGGATTAGGCTCTTAAATAACAATATCAGTTAACTTGGACTAAACACTATGTTACTTAGACACTGCACTAAGGATTTTACGTACGTTTTTCTCAATCCCCAGTCACAATAACCTATGAAGCGGATACTATTCTAATCCTCAATTTACAGATGAAGAAAACCAAAACTTCAAGAACAGTTAAATTAATTAGAACAGTATACTATCTGCTTGAATCATGAGGAACCGATGATCAACTGGATGCCTTTCAAGGCCTCTGACGGTTTCTGAAAATCTTTTAAAAATTAAAGTTCCCAACACAACATAAAAATTGTTTATATTCTACTGCCAACTACCTAATTCAGGGTACTTCATACTATAGCAGCCCGGTACAACAGAAGTCCAATCTCTTCCTTCCTTTCGGTCGGCTCCACTCTGCCCAGTATCAAAATGGCTTTTCCATGGCAATATAAATCCACATTACATAACTTCAAAATAATCTTCATATTCCTAGATCTAATTCGAAAAACGTATTTAAAAAGTACTGAAGACCAAAGAAAAGAAAGAAAAAAGTAACACATTTTAATGTGGAGCTTGGTCATCGCCTAGAATGAATGGGGATATAATTTACTGCAACCTCCCACGAAGGAAGGGGGCAAGACCACAATACTCATCACAATCTTAAACAAGAGAACCAGGGGGGTTGCTAAAAAAGGTGGGCATTAGCTGAATTCGGGTTGGGGGAGTGGGGGAGTCTACTCGGTGGCGGGCTCTGAACGCCCAAAGAGGAAAAGAAAGAAATCCGTTGGTGGCCAGCACCTCGCTAAAAAGGGTGGGTGCTTGTTAGCTTGTAAGCAGAGCCTGGGGCAAGAGTGTCCTAGGCCCGGAAAATCTACAGTAGGGCTCCACAAGCTCGGGTTAGAAAGGGGCCTCGGAGAAGGGCTCCCAAGGGGCCGACCGATCATTTTTTGGCAAACGTGGAGCCCAAAAGGGCCGAGGCGATTCACTCTGTGGCGGACCGTGGAAAGGAAAAGGAAAGTGGGCGACAATGCAAGGAGGAAAGCTCTGGCAGTAGGTCCGGCCTCCACGGGCTCCTGCTGGGCCCACTGGTTTTCGAGGCCTTTGAGAAGTGGAGAAACCCAAGCCTCGTGCCCGTCCCCTCCCCCACCCCAACCCCCCTTTACCCCCAATCCCACCCCGGCCCTTTCGCAGCCTCCCTGGCTTCCCCTCCTCCCGCAACCGAGGTACCCGGTTTCCCGGTTCCCACACGCGTTCAGAGGCGTGAACTCACCCGCCGCTGAGGAAACAGCACGGTCTTCGCGGTCTTCCGAGCTCCAGGTTACGAGTGGGCTCCACCGGTTCGAGGTTTCTGCGCGCCGCTCACCGGGAGACTGGTTCCGAAGCGCCTACTCGCACAGGCCGCAAACACAGCCGCGCTGCGCGGGGAGCTTCTGGAGGTCTTCCTCTTGCCCGGCGTGCACTGCGGCCGGGAGAGTGAAGAGGAGAATCATAGAGAAGAACGCGTATAGATAGTCTTCTCTTTTGGCTCTGAATCACCACGCAGCGGCGAATAACCATAGAGAAGGAGCGCCTGGTGGGGACTAGAAAGGCTCGAGCTGTAAATTACGACCCACCCTGCCATATTTGATTGGAGCTGACTGAATCTTATGACTAGGAGACGCCATCTTGAGGTCAAGCTTCCGGTGCGCACGGGGCAAAGGGTGATAGAGAATTTCTTACTTTTTGTAGTTTGTGTTTGGGGACTTATAACTTTGCTCTGTGGCTCATTGAGGTTCGGTGTACTGCACACCGGGCCTCACGTAGTACCTCAGTGGAAACTGGGAGTGCTTACCTTTCCCTGGAAAACAGCTACTCTTGATACCGAGAAATAACTGGCAAAGGGCGTGGTGGTTTCAAGTGTATGCGCACACCCCTGGTAGGGCCAGAGAGGTGGCTAAAGGTACTTGAAATACCTAAAACGGCCTGTGAAAGCTTTTAACATCACTTTCATTCTGTAATGTAAAGGTGCTGAAAAGAACTTCGCTTACTAGATTAACGGAAATAAAACTAGATTATTAGAAATAAACTAACGAGGGTGCCTGGGTGGCTCAGATGGTTAAGCGTCTGCCTTCGGCTCAGGTCATGATCCCAGGGTCCTGGGATCGAGCCCCGCATCGGGCTCCCCGCTCCACGGGAAGCCTGCTTCTCCCTCTCCCTCTCCCACTCCCCCTGCTTGTGTTCCCTCTCTCGCTAGGTCTCTCTCTGTCAAATAAATAAATAAAATCTTTAAAAAAAAAAAAAGAAAAATAAACTAATGAAACTAATCATAAATGATTTTTCAATTTATGAACATTTATGGGCAGTGTCTTTTCACAGGCCTTTGTTGCCTAACTCTGGCTTCTCAAAAGGCTTATCATTTATTCAATATAAATTTATTGCCTCCCTGAGTGCCTGGTGCTGAGCTAAATGCTGGAAGTATGAAGGTAAACGCAAGTGAGATTTTACCGCTGTTTGGGAAGAGCTGCAAACAACGCAGAACAGATGACAAACTGACCACTGTGTATAAAATTGAAACATACTGCCTTTCCTTATATGCTTTTCCTATTGAATTTTACTCTGTTAGCACTTATCACCACTTATGGTAGTATATATTTTTCTTATTTATTTTATAGTTTGTCTTTCCCTACCCCACTAGAAAGTAAATGTAAGGAGTGCAGGGATTGTCTCTTTTGCTCACTGCCCTATCCCAGTGGCTAGGACAAGGCCCGGTACATAGCAAATGCTCAATAAATAATTGTTGAATGAAAGAAATGATTATATGTGAGTACCAACAGAATGTAAAATGCAGTGGGAGACTAATGGGAAAGGCTATAACATTATCATTTGTAAAATTTACATCCACCTGTATTTCTTATTAGGTTTCCTTACCATTAAGTAGAGCTAATAATATCTATTCCCCAGAGCTATTGCAAGAATTAAATTAACTAATGCATGTGGAAGTATTTTGCTCAGTAAAGCGCTAGTCAAACGCTAGTTACATTTTGCAAATAACAGATTATGGGGGTGCTTGGGTGGCTCTGTCGGTTAAGCATCTGCCTTCTGCTCAGGTTATGATCCCAGGGTCCTGGGATTGAGCCCTGCATCTGGCTCCCTGCTCAGTGGGGAGCCTGCTTCTCCCTCTGCCTCTACCCCTCCCCCTGCTTGTGCTCTCTCTTGCTCTCTGTTAAATACATAAATAAAATCTTAAAACAGATTATGCCTTTTTTTTTTTTACAACTACAGGCATGAACAGAAATCCTTTCAGGTTACTCTGTATTCCCTTTGCTTTGTTAGAAACATTATATACAGGGGTGCTTGGGTGGCTCTGTCGGTTAAGCATCTGCCTTCTGCTCAGGTCATGATCCCAGGGTCCTGGGATCGAGCCCCACATCAGGCTCCCTGCTCTGCAGGAAGCCTGCTCCTCTCTCTCCCACTCCCCCTGCTTGCATTCCCTCTCTCGCTGTGTCTCTCTCTGTCAAATAAGATCTTAAAAAAAAAACATTATACTGGGCGCCCGGGTGGCTCAGTTGGTTAAGCAACTGCCTTCGGCTCAGGTCATGATCCTGGAGTCCCGGGATCGAGTCCCGCATCGGGCTCCCTGCTCAGCGAGAAGCCTGCTTCTCCCTCTGACCCTCCCCCCTCTCATGTACTCTCTCTCATTCTCGCTCTCTCAAATAAATAAATAAATCTTTAAAAAAAATTATATACAAATTCACATATTACTTTTATAGTAAAGCCTTAAAGAGAGAGTTGTCTTAAGTAAGTTTGCTAACTTTTTTGTTGCTTACATTGACCCAACATCCATTCCCCTGCCTTTGGTAATGGCACTCCAAATTTCTTAAAAGAAACCATCCTTCCACTACTCTAGATCTTTGTAGTTTGGATGTAAACTCTTAAGCCTAGCCAGACACTTTAGGACACAGGGATAAAGTTATAACCCAAGCAGAGGCAGATAATTGAGTACTTATGTTGTACCAGGCACTATTTTAAGTATCTTGCAAATATCAGCAACTTTAAACCTCACTGCAATCCACCAAAGTAGGAACAATTGTGGTACAGATGAAGAAACTAAAGGCTTAGAAAGGTCGAATAAATTGCCCAAAGTTATAAGAACAGTAAGTGTTGGAGCCAGTTTGGTTCCTGATTCCATGGTCTCAACCATTACACTATTGCTGCTTCACCTAGCAAGAATAATGCTAAAAGGGGTTGAGGGAGGGGACTCTATCTTTTTCACTTAACTTAAATCTGGAAGGATTTAAACTTAGAACTACTGGGGATAAGAATGAAAAAATCACAGAAGAAAGCTAAGAAAAGGTGAGAGATTTTTTGACAATATCATTTGAGAGCATAGATTCAGCCTTTTTTTTTTTTTAAGATTTACAGGGGCACCTGGGTGGCTCAGATAGTTAGTCATCTGCTTTGGGCTCAGGTCCTGATCCCAGGACCTTGGGATTGAGCCCCGCATTGCAGGGCTCCCTGCTCGGTGAGGAACCTGCTTCTTCTCCCTCTACTGTTCCCCCTGCTTATGCTCTTCACTCTCTCTGTCAAATAAATAAAATCCTTTAAAAAAGTAAAATTGGGCGCCTGGGTGGCTCAGTTGGTTAAGCGACTGCCTTCGGCTCAGGTCATGATCCTGGAGTCCCTGGATCAAGTCCCGCATGGGCTCCCTGCTCGGCAGGGAGTCTGCTTCTCCCTCTGACCCTCCTCCCTCTCGTGTGCTTGCTCTCTCTCATTCTCTCTCTCTCAAAAAAAAAAAAAAATCTTTAAAAAAGTAAAATTAATAAAAATAAAATTAAAAAATAATAAATAATAAATTTTAAAAAAGATTTACAGAGAGCACAAGCACATGCACAATCGTGAATGGGGGAGGGGCTGAGGGAGAGAAGCTTCAAGCTAACTACCCCCTGCTGAGTGCATAGCCCAATTCAGCCAGGGCTCTATCTCATGATCCATGAGATCATGACTTATGCCAAAACCAAGAGCTGGAGGCTTAACCAACTGAGCCACCCGGGCACCCCAAGATTTGGCCATTCTTAAAGCCATTATGTTTCTAGACTTCCCAATATGTAAGCAAATATATTACTTTTCCTAAATCAGTTTGAATTGAGTTTTCTATCCCTTCAACAGAAAGAGTCCTAAACAATACACTTGTATATCACTTATAGAGATAGGCCAAGCCATTCACCTGCAATAACAGGCATCCCACTTCTGAAGAGTTTTTTCTCATAAGCCCTTGCTGAGGAAAGTGACTGTAGATAATTAATTTGGATGCTGGTGACCACATTATGTGTGTTCTGACCCTATTCCTATGGCCACATCTGGTCAGCAACATAGCATGGGACCTGTGAGAAAAACATTGTTTAGTTGGCCCATGCAGATCCTGTCAAGAATTTAAACCAGAGATGTAGAGGATTTAATTAATTGACAGCAGAAGAGAAATGCAGTGATGGGTGATAATGTGGGTGAATCATACCAAAAACAGAAGGTCACTAAATAGGCACCTTTGTTCCCTAGATTGGAAGGAGGAAATTATTGGAATTCTTTTTTTTTTTTTTAAGATTTTATTTATTTGACAGAGACACAGCGAGAGAGGGAACACAAGCTGGGGGAGTGGGAGAGGAAGAAGCAGGCTTCCCGTGGAGCAGGGAGCCCAATGCAGGGCTCGATCCCAGGACCCCAGGATCATGACCTGAGCCGAAGGCAGTCGCTTAACCAACTGAGCCACCCAGGCGCCCCTCTTTTTTTTTTTTTTTTTAAGATTTTATTTATTTGAGAGGGAGAGAGCAATCGCACAAGCGGGGGAGTGGCAGGCAGAGGGAGAAGCAGGCTCCCCACTGAGCAAGGAGCCTGATGCGGGACTTGATCCCAGAACCCCAGGATCATGACCTGAGCCAAAGGCAGACGCTTAATCGACTGAGCCACCCAGGCGTCCCAAATTATTGGAATTCTTATCACGCACCTGAGCTGTCATCAGAACTGCTGGATTTAAAGCAATATCCTGATGAATATCTAGTCTCCCAGATATTCAGCCATGTAGCTTCAGTTCCTGCTTCATCATTCCAGGGCGTTCCAGGGATCATGACCTGAGGTGAAGGCAGACACTTAACTGACTGAGCCACCCAGGTACCCCTTAATTCACCTTTAAATGGGCAAGATAGACACATAATGTTCACTAGTGTTTGCTTGTTTTTTTTTTTAATCACAGCGTATCTTTAAAATGTAGCAAAATAATTTTGAACAACCAGATATCAAACAGCTTTTCCCTATATTACTGCCTAGAGCTCCAATGTAGGCTACTTTATCAAGATTCATACTTTATGTGAGCTAAAACTGCTTCCACTTGGCATTATTAAAATTTTTGTGTAGGGACGCCTGGGTGGTTCAGTCAGTTGAGCATCCAATTCTTGGTTTCCACTCAGGTAAAGATCTCAGGGTCATGA